CGGCAAGACCCGAGGCAATTTTTTTTCTAGCCTTGGGATTTTTCCCCGCTAAACCCTTGGGTCTAAAACTCGTTGCGGCATGCACCCTCTTTTTTTTTTTTTTTTTTTTTTCTTCTACTTCTTCTTTTTCCCTGAGACCCTTCGTTAGTTTTTTTAAGGGATGCATTTCAGGAAATAAAAAACAACGGCGAATTTTTCTAGCGGGCATAGACAAATCTGGTTCGCCACGTAAACATGGGACTTTATAGTTGTAACAGAAACTAGTGTTTAAATGAATGAACGTCAACGTTTGCCATCGCAGTTCACTAGGGTGTTCCACGAACTTCAAACACGCGGGTACTGTATGAGTTCAGTCACATCAATCTGAACAACCACAAGCCATACCCCGTAACCCCACCCATCTACGATTTCGCCCAACTGCAACAATGACTGCCCCGCGCTCCCGTCGCCTACCTCGCCTGCATAGGAGGGCCCAGATTTCGTTCGACATGAAGCGCTGGTAACATGACCCGTTTCGTGCGGGTCAAAAGTTTCCCGTGCTGGTTACCTTAGGTTACACCACAACGAACGCACCCAGGCTGCCCGAAATAAATGACTAGTGTTCGGCTGCTCCCACCCCCCAAGTGTACAGGCCCTTTTTGCCCAGCGTTTTGGCCGGATGATACATGCACGCACCTCGCAAAAGTTTTGTTTTCCTGAATCTTAGAACACGTGTATCTCCTCAAGTTCTCGAGACGAAATAGGCGTGGCTGTTGCGAGAGATTTGTTGGCTGCGTTCTGCAGACAAAAAAGGAAAGTGCAAATTACATCAGAGCACCTTCCGAAAGCGAGAGATTTTGCTTCGGATCGAGGGTCAGCCCGCAAATTTTCGCACAACGTACCCGAACCTAGTTACATCTACATGCCTGCATAACAGGTCCATCCGCAGATGCCATCTACGTCAGGGAAACACCCCCCTCGCTTCCCTCCCTGGCAAATCTGGCGCAAACTTGACGCAATGCTGACGTTCGCTCAATCGCGGAGTCCACCTTGCGTGCGGCGTTACATCAGTCTCAATTTGGCTCCTCTCCCCTTTCGCTCGCGCTTTCCACAATTTGGCGCGTTGCTTCCAAGCGAGGTTTGGAAAGTGCACCTGGTTTGAGTGGTAACCAGTGCTCTCGAAGTCGCTTGAGGAGCTTCCTCAATGTCGACGTCGACGTCGACGTCAAGTGCCTGCAGAACACAGCAGTTATTCGTTTGTTTTTGGCGCGTTGCTAGGTTCTTGTCTGTTTCGACCAGGTTCTATCCCACCATGAACTTTCTGAACCTCTGCCCGTTCGCACTGTTGGTCATGGTTCGACATCCCTCGACATCGGGGATCTCGAGATTGGATGTCGGGGGTACTTTGGACCCGTATCCCTCTTTCAGACCCTCACCTACCTCTTTGGACATCCATCGACAAAACTCGACATCCCACTTTGGACACGCCCTAAAATATGAATGACTTGTCACGGGTGGCTGCAGAACGGGTCCGCAGCCGTCAACTGTGGGACCCTCCTGCACCAGCGTAATTTCCTGCTTCTCGAGGTTCTGATGCCTCGCGGACCTTTCGTGCTCAGGATAACCGTTCGTGCGAAATTTCCTGCTTCTAGAGGTTTCCGACGCGATGTCTCTTCTGCCAGAGCTCCCGTGGCAGCAGATTACCGTTGAAGCTATCGAGACCGTTCATCTACAGCTCCTCTTCTCATCCCCGCCATCCATCCCACAGCGCTATGCCCCTATTCCATGCCACCTCGTGCCGCTTCCGTCCTCACATCGCCTTTTTTACCCAAGCGTCCGCCGGCCTTCTAACCCCATCCAGATCTTGTTTATCGGGGAATTTCCATTCGTCAAGCCCACTCTCCACTTCTTGCGAATTCAGAGGTTACTCCTCTCGCAAGCATCCCTTGTCTTACAAGGCGTTGACCGGCAAGAATTCGGACTTCAGTTGTGCCCCGCCGCCCGCACATCCCTCCAGGAATTCGTCCGAGTCCGACGATTCGTCTGCGAGCGCCGCCATTTCCGGCATCAGCATGCCGCAGCACGCGCCCACCGCGACGGAGGGGGCGGTTGACGCCGCGACTGGCGCGCCTAAGAGCGCTCCCGGGCTGAATTGCGTGCGGAAGCTGCTCGCCGAGGATCCCGTCGGTGAGCGCACGGCCGCTGGGACGGCGGGCGTTGCGCGATGATCGCCACGACGCACGCCGTGTCAGAGACCTGAAATAGTGTCGCCAGCTCAGTCTGTGCTGCCCCTCACATGCGCGCGCCCGGGCACACTGAGCGGTGCTGCATGGGGTGGCCCGGCGCCACAGCTGCTGAACGCGGCTGGAATTCCCGCGTCGATTTCCGCCCCGTTCACCCCCGCCTCGCCCTCCTCCCCGCAAACCATGCCCCGCCGGCCCCAACCTCCCCGCTGTGCACCCTTCGCGCGCCCTCACCTCTCGCCTCTTTCTCAACCCGATCGCTCATGCCACCATCACCCTCATTCCACCATCACCCTCATTCCCCGCACTCTCATCCCTCCCCTGCGCTCTCATGCCAGGCGGGTGGGACAAGGCGTGGCAGGCCAGCACGACGCCGTGGGACCTGGGCGGGGTGACGCCGGCGGTGGCCGCCATGGTGGCAGCAGGGGAGGGGTCGCCGCTGCATCTGCCGCCCGCCATCCGCAGCGTGCTCGTCCCCGGCTGTGGCACCGTGAGTCAAGCCTTGCACGGCCAGGCTGTAGCAGAGGGCACCACAGGGGGTGAATCATGGAGGGTTTCACGCGGCTGTAGCGCGGGATCGCTGGGCTGGGTGTCGGCTTGTGAGCTTCACAATGTGCACCGCTTCTCTGATGGTGCTTGGCGCGATCCTGGCGCATCACGCCATGATATGCCATGGAATGCATGCGCTGACGTGGGTGTGATGTGGCATTGCGTGGCAGGGGTATGACGTGGAGGCGTTTGCGTCGAATGGCAGGCAGGCCACAGGGCTGGACATCTCGTCGTCTGCCGTGGCGCACGCAGAGAAGGTGGGCGCGCAGAGAAGGTGGGCAGGCTTGGCGCGAGGAGTCATTGCGCGGACACATGCACACGGGGGAGCGCATTGAGCACCTGCCAGCACCACTGCAGCCACTTCGCCTTCATTCCCGTCCTCGTTCCCCATCCTTGCCCGCACTCCTCTTCCGCCACCCTCGCCTCACCCTTACTCCCCCCACCCTGTGGGGCTCCCCAACGCACCCCCCCTTGCACTCGCGCCTTCCACCTCCTCGCCCCCATCAGCGGGTGGAAGGTGCGGCCAACAGGGCGGCCATGGCGTTTGTGTGCGCTGACTTTTTCAAGTACCGGCCCGACCAGCCCTTCGATGCCATCTTCGACTACACGTGAGCCGCTGCCCCTCTGCCCCTCAGCCCTGCCGCTGCCGCCGCCACCGCTGCTTCTGCTGCCGCTGCTGCTGCTGCTGCTGCTGGCACACCGCTGCATGTGCATTGTGCCCGCAATAGCCTCTGTCGCATTCCCAGCATCGCTCTCATCCCGCTCAGCCGCTCTCTTCTCGGGCTCCAGGAGCACGTGTCCCAGTATGGCGTCCCTTCCCCATCCCACTGCCCCCAGCTTCTTCTGTGCGCTGCCGCCTTCGCTGCGCCCCAAGTGGGCGGCCAAGACAGCGGAGCTGCTCGCAGCAGATGGGCCCTCTACACACTCATGTTCCCGGTAGGCTGCCGTGCTTGCTCGTGAACCCACTCCTCTGTCTCGCCCCCATGCTGCCCTCCATGCGCTTCTCGAGCCGGATGCTGTCTGCCACAGCGTTGGGCTCCCTGCAAATCCCTGCATCCGGCCCTCTTCCTCCCCTCAACCGTAGTGTGCATGCACGGTTTCCGCTGCCATGTCCCCTCCCGCCTCACTCCACACGACTGCATTCCTCCCACTCCTCTCCCAATCCTCTACCCTTCAGATCGACGGCCACGAGGGCGGCCCGCCCTTTGCTGTGTCCAAGGCCAGGTGTGTCTCTGCTCCGCTGCTGCCTGCTGCGCCCACACGCCTGCCACATGGGCTGCTCGCACACGCCTGCCACATGGGCTGCTCGCACACGCCTGCCACATGGGCTGCTCACACACGCCTACCACATGGGCTGCTCGCACGTGCCGTGCTGCCATCACCTGGCCACTCTGTCTATGCGTGCTCTACTCCATCCGCGCTTTCCCCATCCAGTCCCCATCTTTGTTCCTCCTGCCTCCCTTCCCCTCTCGTTCCAGCCTCATCCCTCCACTGCCCACTCGCCCCCCCCCCCTGCGTCTGCCCCTGACCCCCCCAGCTACGCGGAGGTGCTGGAGCCGCTAGGGTTCACGGTAGAGGATCTGCCCACCGTCAGCCCGCCGCCCAGACAGGTTCGGCTGCTGTGCTGCCACCTGCAACCTCTGCCGTTGCTGGACTCTCTGCAAGGCTCTGACTGATTGCATATGCGCGCGCGCGTGTGTGTGTGTGTGTGTGTGTGTGTGTGGGTGTGTGTGTGTGTGCGCATGTGTGGGTTCGTGTGTATGCGCATGTGTGTGGGTGCGTGTGTGCCTGTGTGCGTGTGTGCGGTGAGGGCGTGCAGGGCAAGGAGCAGCTGGCGAGGTGGGTGCGAGTGGCTCCTGCTGCCAAGGTGTGACGCGGGGTGGGCAGCGCCAAGGGTGCGCGGCATGCAACGGCTGCGCATGTTTTTGAGTCGACTCAAAATACAACGGCTGAGCAGGTTCATCCGGCAGCAGTGGCCTGCCATGCGCTCATGTGCTGCTCCCCCTGCACTGCTCGGTGCTCCCTTGGGAGGTTGGCCGCAAGCCGTGGCCCCAGCCACACAGATGTTGCAACGAGCGACGACTTAGGGTGCTCACTGCGTAGTGATTTCCTGTGGTGTGCGGGCGTGCAGCCCGTAGTCGTATTTCTATTGCTGATATTGCTTGTCTGCGCAGAGTAATTCTCGCATTGTCCTCACAGCATAATAATCAACCTACCACCACTACATCAAGACAACAAGGCACATGACATGACTACCATGTCACCATGTTATGGCAAGCGCAGCACAGATCAATCGGTGATATGAGTGCTGAAGCGCCCCCACAAAGAACATCGACAAATTGGAGCACCAACGCAGCATGCGTAGTGTGTGCGTGCATTTCTGTTGGTGGGTCGCTGTGAAGCGAAGCCGTGACAGTGGTAAGGCGCAGCCGAGGAGAGCAGCGCGCATGCATGGCATGCCGGGTGGTCGAGCAGATGGGCTGCTTTGACCATGCAACACCATGTGTGCAGAGCATAGGGCCATGCCCGTGCCAAGTGACAAGTGCCACCGCCGCTCAAGAGTCAAGCGCTGCTTGCCGGGGGTGCGGTGTGCACACCTCAGGCCATCAGGTGCCAGCGGGCTGCTCCATGGCGCGCATCACCCCGCCCAACGCGTCCGCCACCCTCATCTCCGAACTGCCTGCTGCTGCTGCCTCTCCCGCTGCACCCTCTCCCGCTGCACCCTCTCCTGCTCCCTGCCCCTGCTTGCCATCCACCGGCTTCGCTCCTCTCCGTGACCGCTGCCTCTTCAGCCCCCACAACTCGCCCCCTAAGCTCCCCACCACCTTGCTCCGGCCATCCTCACCTTCACCATCCCCATCCCCCTCTCCCTCCTCCCCTCCCTCTGCTGCATCGTTCACCCCCCTGCCTGCCTCTCGTTTTCTCTTTGCCCCACTCCGCGACTCCCCGCCCACCCCTCCTCCACCGCCCAAGTCTCCACTCACCACCGTGCCGCCACTGCTACCAGCAGCAGCAGCAGCAGGAGGAGCAAGAGCCATGACGCCACCGCTTGGCTCCTCAGAACCTGGAGACGACCCCGCAGGTGCGGCAGCAGAATCAGCAGCAGCAGCACGCACAGCTATGACCTCAGGCGCGGCTGTGTGGTCCGCCACAGCACCCCCACCGATTTCCTTCACCAGCCGCGTCCTCTCGCGCCGCACACCCCTCTCCTCCGCACGCCACTGCTCCCCCCGCTTCTCCTCCCTGCCCTCCCCTCCCGCCTCTGCAGCAGCAGGAGACCCACAGGCGGACAGGGGCGCTTCAACCAGAGGCCGGGGAGAAAACGTGGTGCTGCCAACAGGACTGGCGCCGGGGCCAGGGCTGGCGTGCAAGTAGGGGCTCATGAGCAGGTGCGGGCTGGCCCTGAGGTACGTGGTGGAGCTCAGGTAGGGGCTGGCCGTCAGGTGCGGCGAGGGCATGGCAGCAAAGCCCGGGCTTGTGGACAGGCAAGGGCTGGCTGCCAGTGGGGCCATGGCGCCCCCCCCTCCGTCCCATGTGCGGGGCACTATGCCCTCCACCCTTCCCCCTGTCGCCATGCCCCCAGCCCTCAGCTTGCATGCCGTCATAACCGTCACCACTGCCAGCAGCACCACAGCCAGCAGCGCCACAGCCAGCGCCACTGCCATCGTGTGACGGGCTGGCCTCTGCCCCTCCCTCGTCTGCCTGCTGCCCCTCCAGGTTTGGCCCATCCACCTCAATGTCCTCCCCTCCTCCCTGGCCCCCACTCTCCTCCTCACTCTCCTCCTCTCTAAATAGGCTTGAAAAGCTGTCACTCTCACTCCCGCTCTCACTCTCACTCTCACTCCCCTCGTCTCCCTCACTCCCATCCTCACGCACAATCCTCTCCTCTCTCCCGCCCACCCTCCCACTACTCCCGCTACCACCGGACCATAATTGTGGCACTGCCTCCTCACCCTTGCTCACCTCCCCCTCCCCCTTCCCTTCCCCCTCCCCACCCAATGCCCCCACCTGCCCCTCTCGCCCCCTGGACAGAGCTGAACCCTCCCTCCGCCTGCCACCACCTCGCCTTGTGCTGCTTTGCCCTGCGCCATCCATCCTGGCGGCTTTCACGTGCCTCGCTTCCGCCCCTGCCCTCCCGCCACCTGCACTCCCGTGCGCGCCACTCACCCTGGCTTCGCCACCTTCCTCTCCCTCCTCCATCCCCTCCCTGCCTGCCCTACCGCTTTTCTTCATCCCTCCACGCTTTCCCCCATGCCTCCACCGCCCCCGCCTGTCCCGCTGCTGCCCCACCCTCGTCTGCTGCCCCCCCTGCCGCTCTTCACCACCCCGCTCCCTTACACGCCCCTTCTCCAAGTTCTTCCTCCTTCCTCTGCCTCTTCCCCCCCCTCCACCCACCACGCCTCCCCTTCTTCCATGTCCTTGCTCCACCACTCCCCTCCCCTCACCGCCCTTCTCCTCCCCTCGCCCATCGCCACCGCCTCCCTCCTCTTCGCCTGCTCCATGCATCCGCTGCCTCTTCTTGCCCCCCCTTTCTTCCCCCCCCACCTCTCGCTTCCCTTCGTACGGCCCTGCCTGCAACCTCTTTCCCCTGCCCACCTTCACCTTCTCACCACTCGCTCCCTTCCTCTCTACCTTTGCACTGCTCTGCTCCTCCTTTCCACCACGTTTGGCACCACCACCGCCATCACCATCACCACCACCAGCACCAGCACGGTCACCGTGGGCATCAGCTGCCACCTCTAATCTCTCCTGCACGCCATGCTCCTCTTCCTCCCCCCCCACTCCCCCTCCCTCCCCATCGTCCTTCTCCACTCCGCGCTCCTCCCCACTCCCTCCACTACCCTTCTCCCCATGCTCCCCATTGCTCCCGCCTGCCCGTTTGCCCGCTGGAGGGGGCATGTGGGGGGCGGGGAGGGGCGCAGTGGAGCGCGGGGTGCGCGGAGTGGAGGGGGCGATGGGGGCAGCGGAGAGGGCGGGGGGGGCAGCGAGGGCGAGGAGGGGGAAGGCGAGGAGGCGCCTGGGCACGGTGCGCAGGGTGCGCTCTCTCTTGGGCGAGGGGAATGGTGGGATGGCCAGGCCGTGCAGCGGCAGGGAGGCGGACGGTGGCCGAACCGTGCTGCCGGGGGCAGCCGCAGCAGCAGCAGCCGCCGCCGCAGCAGCAGCAGCAGCAGCAGCAGCAGCAGCAGGCACTGCAGCATCGTGAGCCCCTGTCACTGCAGCGGCCTGCTGCTGCTGTCCATCCACCACCTGCTCTTGCTGCTCCCCCCTCTGCTTCGCCCCCTTCACCCCCCCTCCCCCACCGCCACCATCCCCCCCTCTCATCTCTCCATCATCTCGCAGCTGAGTGCCCCTGCTCCCTCCATCCCTCCCCTCGCCCACATGGATCAAGGGAGCAGGCTGTCCGGGCAGCAGCACGAGCGGCTTGCACACCTCTCCACGCCCCCCCTGCCCATCAGGCCACACATTCGCTGCCGGCTTCCGCTTCCCCACTGATGCCGATGGGGCCGCTGCACGCCCCTCCCCTTCCTCCCCCCCATCCTCTCCCTCCTCCCCCCCTGCGTCCACCGCGCCTGCCTCTTCCAAGAGGGGGCAAGCACCCAGATCCCTGCTGCCACTCGCCCCCTCGCTGCTCTCACTGCCATGCTCGCTCCTGCTGCCATCCCCTCTCGCTGTCTCCATCCCTGCAACCCCATCATCGCTCCCTCTACCGCTGCCACTGCCACTGCCACTGCCACTGCCACTGCTGCCTGCATGGGCACGTGTGATCACGGGTACACCTGTCTGTGTGCCGCGCCACTGCCGCATGAGCAGGGCCAGCTGCTCGCTGCATGCGTGCAGCACACGCCACTGCAACGACTGGTCACAGGGGCTCCTGCCCCCCTCGCTACCCTGCTCATTCCGCCTCTGCTGCTGCTGCCCCTGTGGAGAGCAGGAGAGACTGACAGGGGGTACATCACCAGGCACAGTGCCCCCCTCTTTATTATCGTGTGCGTTGCCCCCCTGTGAGGTGGGCAAGAGCGAGGGCGGAATGTCACACTGCACGCTCACAGCACAGCCCGCCCCCCTGGCAGCAGCAGCAGGAGAGGTGGCGACAGCGAAGGGGGCGGCAGCAGGCGTGGGGAGGGGGGCAGCAGGGGGTAGCCACCAGGCAGTGAGGTGGTGGGCGCGTGAGAGGGGCGTGGGCAGGGGCGGGCGTGGCATGTCCGCCCACTGCGGTGAGAGGGGGCGGGTGCAGGGGTCAGTGTCTGTGTCTGTCCGCATCTGCGTCGAGCTGTCTGCACCTGATTCTCGCACCACCTGCACTGCCACTACTCCTACTGCCATACACGGCTGCAGGAGCCGCTCCAGCAAAGAGAATGGCCCAACGCCCCCTGCTGCTGCCACTGCTCCTCTTGGTGCTGCTGCTGCTTCTGCTGCTGCTGCGGCACCGGCAAGTGGCAAGCCCTGTCCACCCGAGCCTGGCCCTGTGCCGTCCACCTTGCGCCGTTTGTTGAGCCCCAGGTGCAACGCGTGTGGGGGAATCACCACGCCCCACTCGTTGATCGTCACCTTCACCTTCACCCTAGGCCGCCCTGCCTCTCCGCCCTCCCTGCCTTCCCCCCTCAGCCCCCCACCGGCCACCCTCTCCCTGCTGCCGTCCGTTCCCACTCCTGCAGGCAGCAGCGCAACAGCGCAAGGCACAGCTGCCGCCCCTGCTGTGGCGGCAGCAGCAAGACGTGGAGCAGCAGGGTCTGTGGCAGCTCTGCTCACGTCGCACCTCGCCCAACTCGCTGCTGCTGCTGCTGCTGTGCTGGGGGTGGTGGGTGAGGCAGAGGAGGCAGCAGGGGGTGGGAGGAGGAGCAAAGAGTGGTGCAGTGCGGTGGGGATGCCAGCAGGGGCGGCGCCGAGCAGGGATGGGGAGGGCGATGGGGAGGCCAGCAGCCCCACTGGTGTCGCCAGCAGCCCTGCGCCTCCCCCACCTGGCGACCCCTGCTGCTGCGGGTGCTGCCAGGGGCTGTCCCTGCCGTGCTGGGACGAGGTGGAGGCGGGGTGCGGCTCATCCCCATCGTGCCAAGACAGGCCGTTTTCACCACTTGTCTGGGCGGCAGCGAGGCGGGGCGGGCGGCGGCGGGCGGCTTGCTGGTGGCGGCGCTGCAGCACCCAGGAGTGGGGCTGCATGGCATCGGGCGGCAGCACGCCGCGGCGGTAAAAGTGCTCCTCCTGCCAGCGGGCGCAGGGGGGAAGTTGGGTGGGAAGAGGGGGGAGGGATTTGGGAAGGGAAAGAGAGGGAGCGAGGCGAGGAATAGTGCGGGGCAGCAAGAGAGGCGAGTTTATGGCAGATGGGGCTCTGCTGACCTCGGCGATGGAGAGGTGATGGCGCACGCAGTGAGCGGCAGGCCAGGGGCATGTGCCGGCCATGTGGTCCAGACACACGGACGTGGCGCGGTCCCTGCTGCGCCTGGGGGAGAGGGGGGGAGGGGAGAGGGTGGGGGGGGATAGGGGGGGAGAGGAGGGGGTGAGGCGAGGGGTTGAGCAGCTTGCATGGAGCAACAGCACAATGTGAGGTGCAGAGGGCTTGCAGGCTGCAAGGGCGCACCTCTTGGGGTGGTCTTTGGAGCAGGAGGACCCGTGCTTGCAGCAGCCGTATCGCAGCGAGTCCACACACAAGCGCAGCCTCCTGCCCCTGCCCTCGCCACCACTCAAGCTGCCACTACCGCTGCCGCCTGCGGCAGCAGAAGCAGCAGGAGCAGGAGCAGGTGTGAAGTCAGGCTTTTGCTCATCGATTGAGTGAGGCGAGGCGGCAGCGGCAGCTGCAGGTGAGGGTGGAACGGTTGACCTGGGCGTGGCTTCATGGTGACGGGGCAGGGACGCGGAGCGAGGATGCGAGCGGGAGTGCGAGTGAGAGTGAGTGTGAGGGAGAGGGTGCTGCTGGGGCTCCTGCACATTATGGTTGCCGCTGCGAGTGGCCTCACTTGGGCCCTTCTCCTTCCCTGCCTCCCTCTCCTCCTTCTCCTTCTCCCTGTCCCTCTCCTTCTCCCCTGCCCTCCCATTTCCCCTCTCGCTCCCCTCCCTGCTCCTCCCCCTAACGCGCTCCTTGTCTCGGTCCCTGTCCCCTGGGCCATCCCGCCTGTCCCGCGCCGCATCAGCTGCCTCATGCCTACTCCGCATGGCACTGCCACCATCATCGCGCCTCCCCACTGCCCCGCCGCTCTCCACCGCTTGCAACCCGCGCTCCCTTTCCCGTACCTTCCCTTGCTCCCTCTCCCTTCCCTCCCTGTCTGCCCGCCTGTTCCTCATTCTCTCTTTATCCCGCTCCCACTCTCTTTCCCTGTCCCTGTCCCGCCCCCTCTCCTCTCTGTCCACCTTTCTGTCCCCCCAATTTGTCTCCTTCTGTCTCTCCCTCGCCTCACCCCACCCAGCCGCACTCTCTGCCCTGCCATCCCTCCGCCTTTCTGCCGAGCCTTGCTTCTCATCGCGCCCGTCAACCACCCCCACAGCAGTACTGCCCCTCACCTTCTCACCTTGCCTTTTACTGTCCCAATCCAGGCTTCTCTCCCCTTTCAACCTCTCCCGCTCCCTCTCCTGCTCCCTCTCCCTCTCCCTCTCCCTCCCTCTGTCCCTCTCCCTCCCCCGTGCCTTCCCTTTCTCACTCTCCCACCCTCTTTCTCTCTCATTCTCTCGCTCTCGCTCCCGCTCTCTCCCCTTCTCAATCCTCCTTCCATTCTCAGTCACGCACTCCTTCGGTTTCTTCTCCCTCAAAACCTCCCTCTCTCCCCCCTTGTTCTTCTGCCCCCTTTCCAAATCCTTTTCCCTCACCACATCTCGGCCCTCCTGCTCCTTCTCATTCTCCTTCTCCCTCTCCTTCCCCTTCTCCGTCTCGTGCTGCTCGTCCGCCGCCCCCCTGCTACCAGCAGTCTTGCATGCACCATCATCTGCTGCCCTCACCGCCTCAACGCCTCTCACATGCGCCTTCCCATACCCTACCTCAGCCGCTCTCACCCGCCTCTCCTCTATCGCCCGCTCCCCCTCCTTTGACCATCTGCCTTCCTTCTCTCTCTCCCACTCTCTACCTTTCCCGCCCTTCTCCCTCTCGCGCTCCTCCCTCTTCCAGCTCCCGTGCCTCTCCCTTTCCCTGTGCCACCGCCTCTCCTTGCCGTGCGCCCAGTTATCGTCTCTATCACGCGTTCCCTCCGTCTCTCTTTCCCTTCCTTCACTTGCCCTCTCCACATATTTGCCACCACCCCTGCTCCTCTCGCCTTCACTGCCTTTCACCTGCTGCCTTCCGTCTTCCACCCTCTCTTCCTGCGCCCTGCCTTCCCCTCCGCCCCTGCACCCTGTGTGCCTGCCACCGTTGCTGCTGGCCATCTGCCTCACCCCATTCGCTTGTCCATGCCTATCTGCTTGCCCTCTCGCTGCCACGTCCACGTACCCATTCCTACTTGCACTCGCGCTCACCCCCTTCTCCCTCCACCCGTGCTTCCCTACCTCACCCTCCTTGCTCTCTCTGCCAGCCCCCTGCCCGCTTCCCCTCCTGTCCTCGTCTCCTCTCCCTCCACGTCCCTCATGCAACACGTGCGCCTGTCCCACGCTCCGCCTCTCTTCCTCTTCCCTCACTGCACCGCGCCCATCCCTGCCCTCACTGCCGCCTCTCCTCGCCCCCCCCACCTCTGCCACCACACCACAGCCCTCTCGCCGCCCATGGGGCCCAGCACCCGTCAGAGGCGCAGCTGCCAGAGCGAGCACCACAGGGATCGCCCCGTTCACCCACTCAGCCCTCACCTCGTGGTCTGCTGCGCCACCACCCGCCTCCTTCCCTCCGCCCCCTCTGCTCCTCCTAGGCCGGTTCCTCCTGCCCCCTGCCCCGCTCTTCTTGCTTTGCCTGCCCTGCACCTCCACCCCTGCCCCTTGCCGTTGCCTTCTGGTCCGCCCGGCCCTGCCCCTGCCTCTCCCTCTGCTGCCCCAGGACGGGTCGTCCTCGCTGCTGCTAGCGCCACTCTCATCGCTCCTAGACTCGCCACTCGCCTCCCCATCGCTCGCACTGCTGCTGCCACTGCTGCTGCTGCTGCTGCACGTGCTGCTGCTGTCACTACTCGGGGTGTCACTCCCACTACTGCTGCTGCTGCTGCCACAAGGAGCATGGTGAGTGTGAGGCGCGTGGCCATTCCCCTGCACGCTCCTCGTCTCCCCTGCCATGCGTCTGCCACTTGAGTCATCACGACCCACGGCAGCCACGGCAGCCATGGCAGCACCAGCAGTGCCCCTCTCGCTGCCCTGTCCCCCTGTCACGCCCTCCCCACCGCCCCCCAAGCAAGGCTGCCCCTCCTTGGCGTCTTCCTTCTCCCTGAGCCGCGCGCCTGCACATGCGTCCTCCGCGCTCGCCCTCCCTCTTCCCCTCTGCTGCGCACCACAGCTACCATGCTGCCTCATGCCCCTCCCTTGTGGCGGCTGGTACTTAAGAGCGCACTTGTCATACCCTCTTCCCTTTCCTGCAACACGGACATCACTATCCCTCACCCCCACTAAGCCCCCTTCCCTCTCCCTCCTTCGTCCCCTGCTACCTTCCCCCTCACTGCCGCTGCTGCCCTCGCTGCTGCTGATGGAGCTGCTGCCGCTGCTGTCGCTGTGGCTCACACTCGACGTCGTGCTGCTGCTGCCGCCATCACTGCCACCATTGCAAGTGCTCTGCCCCCTCGCTCCACGGCCGTCCCCACCCATTCCCCGGCTCCTCCCACCGCCCTGCATCCCGCCCTCCTCCGCTCTGCACCCTCGCACCTTGTCCTGCACCCCCACGTCTGGGCTTGAGCCGGCCTCAAGGGCGTCAGCGCACGGCTCACGCCCATGCGCCATACCCACAGCCGCTGCGCCCTCCAGTGGAAGCGGTGCCGCGTCAGCAGCGGCCACGCCAGGCACTGTGGCCAGTGCAGCACCATGGGATGCAGCGGCAGCAGCAGGGGGACAAACGGCAGCGCTCGCCGCCCTTTGCACGGCAGGCGTGTGGGTGGCAGGGCTGTGAACGCTAGGGCTGGGCGGGGCTGATGCAGTGGGGGCACAGGCAGGGGTGGAGGCGAGCGGGGCAGAGGAGGACACGGGCATGGGTGGGCTGGTGCCAACTGGTGCAGCAATGTTTACTCCTGCCACTGCTGCTGCTACTGTCGCTTCTACTGTGAGTGTCGGCACTGGCAGCACAGCCGTCCCAGCGAGCTCAAGGGGTGGAGCAGCGATGGCAGGTGGTGGTGGAGAGGGCAGTGCGGGCGGCACGGCAGGAGAGGTGAGGGGGGACGTGTGCGGCGTGCCGTGGACTCCATTGCCAAGGGCACGAGAGGCAGGAGCGCTTGTGGCACGTTGAGACATGGGAGGGGCAGCAGCAGCAGCATCATGGAGTGAGGGTGAGTGGGTGTGTCCGTTGGCAGTGGGCACTGGCGGGAGCGGCAGCGCCGTGTGGGCGTCGTCGGCAGCACCCTCGCCGTCCTGCCACACCAAGCAAGGCACACGAATTGCAGGTCAGCAACCGAAAGGATTGGAAGTTTCCGCGGAGCGACTCCAGATATGGGCACAGGAGCATGCATGCATGCGCCATGGGCAGAAGCAAGCCCGGGCGCGCGACCCCACCCTGCGTGCGGTGTGCCTGACCTGGTGGAGGTGGCCCTCTCCGCAGCGTGCGTTCCACGCGGTGAGCAGGTGCTGCAGGTACGCGTAGTCGGGCTTGTCCCCGTACTCCAGCACCTGCAGGTGCTCCGCAAACGCCTGGGGGGGGGGGGGGGAAGGGGGAGGAGGGGCACAAGAGCGCAGGGAGAGAAGACCTAGGACATATTAGGTGGTTGAGATGAAGGCTGAGGTGATGCAAGGGGGGCGGCAGGGTCACGATGCAGGGAGTGAAAGAGGGGGCGGCAGAAAGCCGTGGCACGGGATGAGATGAGGGGAAGGCGGACTCACGGAGAGCTCGTGTGGGAAGGGCACGGACTTGGTCATCTGGTCCGGGTGGTAAAAAAAATGCAGCTTCATCTCCTTCACCCGCTCCTGCTCACCCCGCCCCGCCATAGGCACACGCACGCACATGCATGCATGCATGACGCGGGCAACCGTTAAGGAACGCAATCATGCGTCAACAAGGCACGGGCCGAACTTGCACGGCTCATGCTCGCCTCAGCAAGGGGGATTGAGCCAAATCGCAAAGCCTACATCATCCAGCATGGTGCACAGCTCACCTTCTCGGTGACGTGGCGCCAGGGCAGCTCGCCCTCGAGAAACTCCACGAGCACGTAGAACAGCGACCACAGGTCGTCCCGCCGCCCCAGGTCCTGCCACCACACCACACACCACACACCACACACCACACACCACACACCACAGCGCACGGGGGGGAGGACGGACGGCGGAGGGCGGAGAGCGGAGGGGGTGATGCGTGGAGATGGAGCAGATACGGGTCAAGAGAGGTGTGGCGTGGCATGCATACAAGGAGAGAACCCGCATGAGGAAATGCATGACCATGCAGTGATGGCGCCAAGGCATACCATGAGCAGGTGCGAGTGTGCGGACGCATAGGCCGTGGACCCTCTGAACTGCGCCACCTGGCGTGCGGGCTGCAGGTCGCCAGAGGAGGAGCGGAAGCGCTTGCAGATGCCAAAGTCGATCACGAAGCACTGCTGCTGTCGCTCGCCCACGCCCATCGCGAAGTTGGACTGCCGGGCCGGTGGAAGGGGGCGTTGGGACACGGGGCGCGGGGATGGGCATGGAGGATTGTTGACAGGATTGAACATGCACGCACAACAAGCGTATGCAGGTGAAGGACGGGCAAGGTAAGCACGTGTGCAGGGAGGAAAGAGTAGGCGAGGGAATGATGGAGGGAGCAGCACGTGCAGCACGGCGGGGAGGGAGGGAGGGCGAGGAGGGGTGGGGTGGGGTGGGGTGGGGGCACTGACGGGCTTGACGTCGCGGTGCAGAAAGCCCTCGTCGTGCATGGCCCTCAGCGCGCGTAGCATCTGGTGCAGCGCACAAGAGGGGAGGGGGGAATGAGATGCGCGTGAACTGGTGCACGCGCGGCAGTGGACCCCCAGGCCAGAAGCAGCTCAATGTGGCACCACCATACGACCTCATTGGAATCTGCATCCAGCTTGCATGTGGGCCGCCACAGCTTCCCTTCCCCGTCCCCCGTGAGCCAGAGTGCCGTCCAGCCCCCCCAGCACACTGGCCCAAGCGCCCAGGCGCACTGACCTGCAGGGCGAGGCGGGTGAGCGTGGCGACGGGGAAGCGGCCGTGGGGGAGCTTGCGACGCACGTCGGACAGGCTGGGGCCCAGCAGCTCCATCGCCACGTACGCGCGCCCGTCCACCTGCCCCGCGTGCACGAACCCACACACCGCGCGGCACCCTGGGGGGGGGGAGACGGGGTTGGGGGAGGTGGGGAGGTGGGGAGGGGAGGAGGGAGGGACGAGTGCGGGAGGTGATGAGCAGGCAAGATGGTGATGAGCAGGCAAGATGGTGAGTGGGGAGCGACGCACAAGTTCTGCGCTCCTAGGAATAACCATCTGGGTGCAATAGGGGGAGGCATTACCTTGCAGTCGCTTCAGCACCCACACCTCCCACTTGAGCACAGACTCCTCCTTCTCCACCTTCACTGCCACGTGGCGCCCGCTCACCGTGTCCCGCGCGCGGTAGATCTCGCCTGGAAAGATTGGAGTGCGCGCAGCTGGTCAAGGAAGGCTAGCATAAGGTGTTGCGGAGGGTGGGATACGGGCTGAGAGGCGGAGCGGGCGAGACGGCGCGGATTCGCGACAAGGAATGTGAAAGAGTGGAAGGGCAGATGGCGAATGGGTGAGAAGGAACGAGCGTGGAAGGGTGCGACGGAGCAGGGGAGGGAATGGGCAGCGCTGGACGCCCAGGGAGAGAGCAGCGAGACACACATGACATGCCAGGCGGAAATGGCTTAAAAGGAGCGACTTCAATGACTCTTAAAAAGCGATCCGTTCAAGGAGGTGGGCAAAAGAGCGGGGACAGAGAGAAAGAGGTAAGGGCGACCACTGGATGGAAAGGGAGGGAAGAGAGGAGTGGGGGGGGGAAAGGGGTCGGAGGGACGCGCGGAGGATACTGAAGGTGCCTTCGCCGATCTTCTTCTCCACCTCGAACCGCGACTCCAGCACCGCGCCTCTTGACAGCAGCGGGGCGTGCGGCGGCAGCCGCGACGACGCCATGCTCGCGCGCCACGCAGCGACGCAAACCGCTGGCTTCGAAGTCCCTGCCTGACGTCACGCCGCCAGCTTATTCACCCCACAGCCGCATCAGCAGCACCGGCGACCCGTGTGGCTCTACGGCTCCATGAATGGCCGGCTTAACGTCCACCGCGAGGCGCGGGTTCACTCACGACACACGAGGCACAACCGCAGCGCGATGAATAGGACTCGACGGAGGGGTTCAAGACTCCAACGCATAAGTGCAGGCAGGATGAAAAGGGCCCGCGGATCGATGCATGGAAGGGTCAGATGCGAGCGAACCAGCAAATGAATTCGACGAAATCGTCGACAGAAATCTTTGCGACAACTACGCAGGACCTCAGGAGCTCCGAATTCACGTATTCAGGTGCTAAGGGTCAGAGACTTGACCTACTAGGCATCTAAGGTGCAATGGACGGCCTATCAAGCATCTAACTGCAGTCCAGGAGGGATGAGCCTTGGGGTTGTCGTGGCAGTCACAGTGCTGTCTGTCGCCAGTCGCCAGGATATCATGGCTTTCGCCCTATTCAGCGAAAACGCAGCCATTCGCCCAACCCTCGCCGACAAGGCGCAGAGACCCCAAGCCACATCGTCCCCTCTAAGGAAACACCGTTGGAACAGCTCAGGGTCCGTATGATGATAGCCATACTCATTCTCTATTCCATAAGAATTGATCAGACTATGACAAATGGATCACTTTAATGTATAGAAACCATCAATATTACTTGAAGCATCACCATCCCAAAGACAGAGTGTGCTTGTGATTAATGTAGGAATTGTTCAATATGTGTCAATCGCATAAATTAGGTATTTGACCACAAGCTGGACATTAACTGTTGGAACGTAACTTCCATTAATAATTGGAGACCAAGCCACCGATTCCTACTTGGTAGAATTAGAATCACATCAACGAGCATTCATACTAGTATGTTGAAGATGTTGTTACATCTACGTACGATACTACAAAGAAGTCCAATTCCATAGGTATTGCGCATAGCTTACCACATCAATCCACTGTATACTGACCACGCAACTGAAATGATAAAATTTGAACAAATATATTCTCGTGGCATTGGGATAGCCCTGTCGAGCCTCATCTCTCTCTAGGGAGGGTACTAGGAAAGCTTTCCCTTGGGAATAAGGATATATGGAGCCTAACCCTTTTGAGGACATCCCTTCTTGTCCCAATCAGGCCTGTCGTTATCAGGGTATTTTACCCTGATTCCCTGATTTAATAGGGTTTTTTTTAGCCAACCCTTAATTTTCAGGGTTGGGTTTTTTTGAACCCTAACCTCTTCAGGGTTGTATGTCTGTGGACACTTAGAATTTCAGGGTTTGCGTTATCCCAAAACTGAGTTTTCAGGGAGTAACACGTACGAACCCTGAGTGCGACATCCATGTGGCTCACAACGCGGAAATTTAGGCGAAGTCCCCAATCTCCAGAGACATTCCCCCCCACACACAACAACATACAGAAATTGGTGAAGTCCTCAAACATTCCCTCACACACCAAGCAACCCACAAAAATCGGCTAAGTCATGTGTCGTACAGACATCCCCCCTACACACCTAACAACAACCCATAAAAATTATCTAAGTCTTGATAGCACAAAAAAAAAAAAACGGCTTAGTCCTATTGTACACAAGTTATCCCCCCTCCCACACTCCCACAACCCATAAAAAAGGCTAACGGTCAAGTCGTAGAAGGTACCGTAGGTTTCGCAGCTGGCAATGTACCTAACCCTAAATTTGAAGGGTACTAGCGACAATGCTCCCTTCTTAAGGAAATGTGTTTTATTGCCCGTGTGGTCAACTGAAAGTCCATCAAACTTTGACGGCCACGATCAATCGTGATCGTTTCGACAAATTTCAGCCGTTAGATGATCGCGTATGATTAACGTCATCGATTTGCCCATGGCGCTGCAAGTGCGGGAGGTTTCTGCCACTGCCCCATTCGCCTCGATCCCCACCTCTCCCTCCGTTTCGCTTCCCCTCTCCCCTCTGTTTCGATTCCCCCTTCCCCTCCGTTTTGCTTCTCCCATTCCTCTCTACTGTATTTCGAAACCCCCCCCACCCCCCCCCACTTTTTCCCTCCCCGTTTCGCTTCCTCTCTTCCCCTATGTTTCCATCCTCCCCCTTCCCCTCCGTTTCGCTCTTCCCCTCCCTCGGTTTGATTCCCTCCCCTTCTTCCCCCCATTTTTTATTCCCCCCTCGTGTTGAAGGCAACCCTGAACGCGTTCGGTGAACCCTGGGATTTTCAGGGTTCTTGATTTCTGAACACTTACAAATCAGGTTAGGCAAATTTTGAAAACTGGGCCCTCAGGGTAAAATTTTTTTTTAGTCGACAGCTCAGGGGGTTTTTTTTTAAACGTCAGGCTTGGTCCCAATGGTTAGGATTGGTGACTTTATGACATGGTATCAGTCTTAGAATAGCAGAATGACTAGAAAACAGGGTACATGGTGGTTTTGACCTAAATTGTTGTACTCACTAAGGCATGCTCCTATCTAATCTATTGTAACGTACACAAATATGTTTGACGCACCCTCTAGACTAGACAAGGGGCAGTGCCAGGCAAGAGACAAGCAACTCATGGCGGCACTACAACTCCAACCTCTGAGACAAGGGTCCAAAAACCAATCAGCAAGAGTACAAACTCGACAAGAGCAAACCAGGGCGGCACTACTAGTCCGGCCACTGGAAGAGAAGCCACAAGGCCAGTCAAGAAGGAATATATGTACAAGGAGTACACAATCAGGGTTCTAGCAGTGAAAAGCTATAGGAACCAGACCAGGCTGCAAACAGTGCCGCTGAGGATCGTTAAGCGCAAGCGCCTTAGTAAATATATCAGCTGTGTTGGCATTGGAGGCCAGGTGTACTATGCGGGCCTGGCGGTGCTGCTATAGCTCGCGTAGGAGGAAGTACCGCAGCTGGATGTGCTTCGCTCTGCCCTCGAGTCGAGGCTCCTAACATCGGAGGATCATGGCCCTGTTGTTAGCGTACAGGACCGAGGCAGACCTAGGCCGCTCACCTAAGTCGGTGAGAAAAAAGGTCAGCCAGCGGAGCTCCTGTGCCGCCATGGCATCGGCATAGACCTCGGCCTCACAGCTAGACTGAGCAACAGATGATGAGCGGGTGGACCTCTACGGGATGGCACCTGAACCAAGGCTAAAGCAGTAGCCCTGAGAGGACCGGAGTGTCTCAGCGTCATCTGCCCACGACGCGTTTGTGTGCTCGGTAAGGACCACTGGTCCACGTCCTCCTAGCACAAGCCCCATGCCCGATGTACTTGCTAGATAACGCAAAACCCTCTTAGCCACCGACCAGTGCTGTGGTCGGTGTCTGCCTGTGGCCACAAAACGAGCCAGGATGTTGAGAGGGTATGCGAGATCTGGACGAGTGCAAGTCATCAGGTACATGAGGCAACCCACCAGCTCTGCGTAAGGACCACTAGGCTCTACAGACTCCTTAGAAACTGGAGCAGAGGGCTTGTGGTCTACTGGCAGAGGCGTGGGCTGTGCAGAGGAGAACTGAAGACCGAACCTCTGAAGGAACTGGCGCACCAAATGTGACAGTGTAAGAGAGATGATGCGCGCTGCTTTGTCCCTGGAGATCCGCAGGCCATGGTAGCGGTGCAGCTCTCCTAGGTCAGTGCAGGTGTGTCTCCTCAGCAGTCCAGCCTTCACGAAGGCCAGTACGTCTTTGTCTGCATTCGCGAAAACCAGGTCGTCTACGTAGACAAGGATGTAGAACGGGGTCTGGCCAGCATGAACGAAGAGCGAGGGGTCTGCAGACGACGGGAAAAACTACAGGCCGGCTAGCGTAGAAGCAGCGTGTCGTGCCACTCACGAGGCGCATGTCGCAGGCCGTAGACCGGGCGCTGGAGGAGCCACTAGGTCCTAGGAGGGAAGGTATCGATGAAGCCCTGTAGACGGCGCAGGTAGACCTGCTCGTGTAGGCTGCCCTGAAGGAACATTGTGGAGAAGTCGAAGGAGTGTAGCTCGTAGTCACGATGTGCTGCTACGTGTAGCAGCGCCCGAAGAGTAATCATCTTGGGGTCGGGGTGAAGGTCTGGAAAAAGTCCACACCCTCGTACTGACCTAAGTCTCTAACCACGTAGCGCGCCTTGAACACAGGCGGCTCTCCAGGGAGGGGCTTCACCTTGAAGAGCCACCAGACATCGACTAAGTTCACCCCTAGTGGGGGGAACTGCGTCGACGTAGGTGCCGGTGGGTCTCCAAGATGCCATCTTATGCTCCACGGAAGTTATCCACTGAGAGGCCCTAGGTCCCGAGGCCGCCTTAGCATATGTGCGAGGGGTCAGGATGTCAAAGGAGTTTGGGTCACCCTCAGGGACTGGGAGTATGGAATAGAGATGGGGAGCGGCCTCAGAGAGGAAAGCAAGCTCGTACTGCCTGACCTCTAGGACGTCACCACCAAGGGTAGGAGCACCCCCAATGGACGGAGGACAGGCAGGGCCAGAGACAAGAGCTATGGCAAAGTCAAGGCAGTGGGTAGAGGCGAAGTCAGCGACAGTAGCGACAAGAGCGTCAGGACTCGAGACAGGAACAGACGGGTCGATAACGAGGGAGGCAAGGACCCAATGAACAAGAGGACGAGCGGCAAGAAGGTAGTCAGACAGAGGAGGCGGAGCGACAACGAGCGATGACGAAGGAGGCAAGGGAAGGAGGCGAGGACGAGATGTGTGGGAACGAAGCAAAATGGGGTGAGAGCACTGGACAGGAGAGACAGGATGAGCACTAGAGGGACGGCGAGACCAGAAGTGGAACAGAGGCGTCGGGTCAAGAGACACAGGAGGAGTCACAGGAGGAGTCAAAGGAGGAGAATAAGAGGGAAAACGAGCAGGGGACGAGTCCGGTGGACGAAGCACAGGGCCGTAAACACGCTGAGGAGGCGGCGGCAAGGAAGGCGCGGGCGATTGGTTAGGGGAGGGAAGACCGAGCAGGCAAAGGGCGGACACCGGCGGCGACTCCTGCTGTGGTTCCACGCCGACACCAGAACCTCTAGTTGCACCACGGCTACCTCCGGAACGCTCCACTCCAGCACCCCCAGAACGAGAACCCTCTCCAGCACCGGTGCCATCCCCAGGTTCGCCGGGACAAGCCACGACAAGAACCCCAGGACTAGCACCCTCCTCAACGCCCGCACCCCCAGAGTACACGGACGGCTGCTGCTGCGGTGGCGGCGGTGGCAGCTGCTACTACGGCTGCGACGATGCCTGCGCCAGCTGCTACGGTGGCGACGGCGGCAGCTACTGCAACGGCAAAGGAGGAGACACCGGGGGAGAAACAGTCGGGAAGAGCTACGCCGCGGGGCCACTAGAGTCAGTCGACTCCTCGACCGGGACAACCGACGGGAGGGGAGTGACGGGAGACACACCAGACGGAGGAGGGCGGGGAGAGAGGAGAGCAGGGGCTACCAGGGGAGTGGGGACCAAAAATAAGGGAGGGGAAATCGGGACACCTCGGTGGGGAAAGCAGTGGTAAAATTAGACAGACTCGTCGAAAGTGACGTCACGGAAGTGAAAGAAGCGGTGAGACGGCGGGAGGTAAAAGTGCCTGTCAGACGAGTCAAGGGGGAAACTAAGGAAGATACAGGGGACAATGCGGGTAGTGAGCTTATCCGTGCCCGAGGCACGGACGTGAGCGAGGCAGCCCCAGACGTGGAATGCGGACGCGTCACTAGGGAAACCGGTCCAAAGAAGGATCGGCAAAACATACGGCCGCTGGAGGTGCGTCCACAGGTTAAGCTGGTGAGCGGCGTCGCGAACGACGAACGGCCACAGAAAATGGGGTGCACCGCCATGGATCATTGAGGTACAAGCCACCTCTATGACCAAGCCGATGCGTCGTTCAGTGACCCCATTCTGCTGCGGGGAGTCCGGTAGGGTGTACGTTTGGGTGATGCCATCCGCACGACAGAACTATTCAAGCCGACCGGAGGCAAACTCGCCGCCGCGGTCGGAGTGGAGACATAGCATAGGGAGAGCGCGGTGGAGGCACGTAGCGATGACCCACGGGATAAGAATGTCAGGCACGTCGGCCTTCCGCTCCAGGGGAAAAACCGTGGTATAGCACGAGAAAGTAGCGCTCTCAACGCGGCCCAGGGACGGGGGCTGGGCCCCAGACGTCCAGGTGCAGGGTCTGGAGTGGCGCGGTGGTAGGGCGAAGCGCGGAGGAATGAGGGGCATGGCACAGCCAGCCCTCGACGCAGGGAGTGCACGGCGGCGCAAGCGAGGGAGGGAGGGCAGGGAGACCTAGGACGAGACCGTGCTGAGACATGTGACGCTGATGCAGGAGTGCAGGGTGACCTAAGCGGTGGTGCCACAGAAGCGACCGACACGAGCAAGCCACAACGACCTGGGTAGACGCAGGACCTGGAGAGGACGTGACCACCAAGAGGGAAGCAGTGTCCAGCGTAAACAGGCCAAACACCAGGTCCCAGGGGAACGTCGCAAGGGGGCACCTGAGGCGGCCTCGGTACAGACAGCGTACCGCTCGTGACCAGGGAACGTAGTGGTGACGCCGAGGTCTTGAAGACAGCCGACACCAACTAGGTTTCCTGGAGAACGAAGAGGTGTGCAGGCCTGTAAGAGAATCCGAGGGAACCGCTGGACAGGGGACGGTAGTGTAGCTACGGGCAACGACAGGACCAGAGAATTGGTCACGAAGTGTGACAGCAGAAGGCACCGCAAGCGGCGTGAGTGTGGCGTGGTCGTGGAAGAAGCAGATAGATGGACCAGAGTTAGGCATAAAGGACAGCGAAACAGAAGCTGCGGCCGGAGGAGGAGCGAGCGTGGAGCCTCGGCTAGACAAGGCAGAAGGTCCTACGCCTGACACTGCAGGGAAGTCTGGACTACACGAAGTAACTACACCTAAACTAGAGAACACAGTGTAATAAGATCCGGGCACACTAAAAGCATCAGGATACAGATAATGCAGGGCAGAACAAATCGGATCCATGTCTAATTCAAAAACAGGCACAACATGGCGCAGCAGAGTGGCCTTCTCAGGGAGGTCTGGGGCCGGGCCGAAGCGGCGACGAAAGAGGTCGTCGAGGCGGCAGAAACAGCGGGCGGTCGAGTGCGGGCGACGACACACAGTGCCACAGAAAGGGCTGATCTGGAGTTGGTACTGGCAGCCCCCAGCATCGAAGCTGCCGGCCGACGTCGAGCTGTGAGGGCCGCCATCGCGGCCACCACCATTAGAGGCTCCTGGCCACCCCGACACGAGGCGGGCCCATGACTGCTGCTGCTGCTGTTGCGATGGCTGCTGCTGTGGCGGCTGCGGTCGCTACTGAACCTGGGCACCAGCCCCGATCCCCTCGTCGGACCCACTGTCTTCGCCACCACCACCCCCGCCACCACGCCCCCTCTTGGGGTCACGACGGCCCCGGCGCTGGCGCGGCTGCGTGGACGCCGCAGCTGCGGTCTCAGCGGCGGGGGGCAGTCACGGCAACCACGGCTGAAACGTCAGCGTACGTGCACTGGGAGGGTGCACAGCCCTGAAAGATAGGGAATGCCGCAGTACCGCTCGACTGAGCAATAGTACGCTGGCGAGTCTCTATCTCAGACAGGGCGGTGACAAAAGCGGTAAGGGTGAGGTCACCAGGGTGCTGACTAAGGAAGTGGTCGCAGGCAGTGGCTAAACGACCCAGAAGGCGCATGATAATGAGGTACACGGTAGCGCAAAAGGGCAGGGAGAAGGCAATAAGCTGGGCGGCAGAGCTAGTGGCACGGTAGCTAGCCTCTAGTGCACGGAGATGAGTGGCTAGGTCAGCTATAGTAGGGAAAACGGCAAGATCAAGGAACAGCATAGGGAGTATCAGGCGGCCAGCAGAGGCGGAGGCGGGCGTGGAGTAGCGCGTAACAACTGCATCTAAGAAATCCTCGGCATATGCGACAGCAGTGAAGTGCGGACGCTCAGACAGGGAAAGAGCATGACTAATGGCTAGCTGCGCTACGGCATCGCGGAAATCCCAGACAGTGTGAGCAAGCGCAGCAGCAGAAAAGGCCTCATGCTGAGCAATGATGGGGTCATCAGGGAGGGGATCAGGCGCGGGGGGGCGGGGAAGCAAGCCATCACTGCTCAGCCAAGGAGTGCCCATCCTGTGTGGTGACGGCGTAGATCAACAAGCCAGGTGGCGAAGTCGATCACGTGCCTTTCCGCGTCCAGGAGGAGTACAGAGTCCGCCATCGTGCGACCTCAGTGACATAGCTCCACTACGGCACGGCGGCACAGCGACACAGCGACCCAGCTACAGAGCGGTACAGCGACACAGATACACAGCGGCACAGTAGCACGGCGGTAGAACTCCCCGGGAAGAAGACCGAGCGGAAGGCCGAGCGGCAGGCCGAGCGGGGCTCACGGGGTGCGAGGGCCGGACGGGGCGCGAGGGGCCGGCGGGGCGCGTAAGGGACCAGCGGGGCGCGAGGGGCCGTCGGGGCGTTAAGGGACCAGCGGGCGCGCGAGGGGTCGGAGGGACGCTAAGGGCCGGCGGGGCGCAGGAGGGACCAGTGGGGCGCGAGGGGCCGGCGGGGCACGTAAGGGACCAGCCGGCGCGCGAGGGGTCGGCGGAGCGCTAAGGGCCGGCAGGGCGCTAGGGCCAGGCGGGGCGCAGGAGGGACCAGCGGGGCGCGAGGGCTGGGCGGGACGCGAGGGGCGTTAAGGGACCAGCGGGCGCGCGAGGGGTAGACGGTGCGCTAAGGGCCAGCGGGGCGCTAGGGCCAGGCGGGGCGTGTAAGGGACCAGCGGGGTGAGGGACTAGCGGGGCGCGCTAACGGGGCAGGCGGGGCGCTAAGGACTAGCAGGGCGCGCTAAGGGAACGGCGGGGCGCTAGGCTAGGGCGAGGGTGGAAGCGGGTGGGCAGACCTAACCTACGATGATATCATATGCGAGAAACAGAATTACTAGAAAACAAGGTACATAATGGTTTTGACCTAAATTATTGTACTCACTAAGACATGCCCCTATTTAGTCTACTGTAACATATACAAATATGTTTGACAATCAGAGTGGTCCAGGGTTCAATTCCTGGTGCACGCGCTACCCCAGCGGGGGGGGTGTGTCATGGCACTGGGATAGCCCTGTCGAACCTCCTCTCCTCGCTCTCTAGGGAGGGTACTAGGGAGGCTTTCTCTGGGGAAGGTGGATATATGGAGCCTAACCCTCCTGAGGACATCCCTTCTTGTCCCAGTGGTTAGGAATGGTGAATTTATGACATATTTTCCATCTGCATCATTTAGACTACATACGGGGGATCTAGGCAGGGCATTATTCCTACCATGCTAGGTTGTTATGCAAAATAACATAGGAGGGGTTCATAATTTTTTGCAACATAACAGAATACCGCCTACCCATAACGAGCTGAACTGCTGCTGACCTTGAGTTCAGCACGTGTGTCTATTGGAGCAGCACCTCGCCACTCCAAAGGTCCGCGTGGCACTGCTGCCCCGTCACCGATCGCCGCTTGGCGTCATTTCCGTCACTTCTCCGCCATTCACCGCCACCTGCCTCCCAAATCTTCGCCCCCCTCTCTGACCTGTCCTGCGGCCTCCCTTCCCTCCCCTCCCCCTCGTTCCCCCTTCCGCGCCTCAGCTCCACCAGCCTCCACTCTCCGCGCGACCCGCCTGGGTGGTGCTCAACATAAATCTTTCCTTCTCCCCTCGCCCCTACCTTCCAGACCCAGGTGACTGATAATATTACCTCTTTTTTCGCCGTCCCGTTGCCTGCGTCAACAATGGCTGCCGCCGTATCCGCCCCTTCCCCCGCATTGCGCGGCGCCGTCTCCGCGGCGCGCCATGTTGCCGCCCCCAAGGCCAGCAGCAGCGCCGCCTCGCCAGCGCCGCCTGCACCGCGAGTGACGCTCAGATCGTCGTTCACGCAATCGCCCACCGCCGTCACCGGCAGGAGCCGGTCGAGTAGCTGCCGTCAAATCGCTGCGTCGCGGCGGCGATCGGCAGTGAGCGCGTCAGTGGCAGCATCGGCGCAAGATGCGCATTTGGCGGCGGCGGAGGCGGAGTGGGCGAAGCTGTCGAAGGTGTGCGCAGTGCTGGGCACGCAGTGGGGCGACGAGGGCAAGGGAAAACTCGTCGACATCCTCGCACAGCGATACGACGTCGTCGCACGCTGCCAGGTGAGGCGCGGCAGGGAGAGCGGGAGAGACGGACGGGAATTGTAGAGTGAAAGGTTCTTAGACAATTTAGAGAAACTCCACGACTATTTACGCGCGGAGTACACTGCCTTGAGGAATGGAGCAGCACAATGCCCTCAGAAGACGCTAACCTCATTCACTTTCGCAGCCAAAATGGGGGTTAAGTGAGGGGGGCAGCCGTGAGGGGGGCAGCAGTGAGGGTGGCAGCGGTGAGATGGCGAGTAAATGGCAAACGCCAATGGCGGGCGCGACTTGATCAACGCCTGTGCTTTCTCGACTTGACGCCAATGCAAAGGAGCCAGGGAATTGAGCAAGACGCACTATTGTCGCTTTACCGCCGCTGTTGTCCGCGGGATGGTACGCGGGGAGTCCGCGGCGCGCGGCGCAATGTGTTCTCCGCCGTTCCAACCCCGCCCACTACCCCCAATCCGCCCCCGTCAGGGCGGCGCGAACGCGGGGCACACGATATACGACAGCACGGGGCGGCGGTTCGCGCTGCACCTGGTGCCGTCGGGCATTCTGCACCCGAACGCGACGTGCGTGGTGGGCAACGGGCCCGTCATCCACCTGCCGGGTTTCTTCAAGGAGCTCGACGGGCTCGAGGCCAGTGGCGTGCGCGTGGCGGGGCGCATCCTGGTGAGCGACCGCGCGCACCTGCTGTTCGACCTGCACCAGACCGTGGACGGGCTCCGCGAGGCCGAGCTCGCCGGCGATAAGATCGGCACCACCAAGCGCGGCATCGGGCCCTGCTACGCCAGCAAGGTGCGCCCAGGGGGGGGGAGGGGCGGGTGGGCTCGTGGGGGAAGGAGGGGGAGGGAGGGGAGGGGGGATGTGAATGGGCCGAGTGCTGTGTGGAGAAGGGGAGGGTGTGTGTGCGGGGAGGGAGAGCGGAGGGGGGGCGGTGGGATGAGTTGTGGGAAGGGGTGATTGTAATGGGGGAAGAAGTAGGGGAGAGCTCGGTGGCTCGGTTGGGCATGCTGGTTGGCTTTTGGGTGATATGGTGGGTTGAAATGGGATTGAATGTCACTTGGGTGTGGTGACGTGTGAATCCCCGTTTGAATCACCTTGAAGCCGAGGAAGAGAATGGCTGGGAACGCCACTCCCGTGCATGCCCCCCTGCCCCCAGGCGATCCGCAATGGCTTGCGGGTGTGCGACCTGCGGCGCATGGACACGTTCCGCGCCAAGCTCGACACGCTGTACCGCGACGCCGCAATGCGCTTCCCCGCCTTCACCTACTCCGAAGCCGACCTCGACGCTGAGGTGGCACGCTACCAGGAGTTTGCCGCCCGGCTGGAGCCGTACATTACGGACACTGTTCACTACGTGGGCGAGGCGGTGCGCGGCGGGCGGCGCGTGCTGGTGGAGGGCGGGCAGGCGACGATGCTGGACGTGGACTTTGGCACGTACCCCTTCGTGACCTCCTCCAACCCCTCGGTGGGCGGCATCTGCACCGGCCTCGGCATCCCGCCACGCGCCCTCGGGGATATCATCGGGGTGGTGAGTGGCAGCATGCGTGCAGTCTACTGCCTCCCAGCAAGTTTGGCAAACCAGCAGCTGCTTCTCTCCATTATCTGACCCGTGAACCACCATGCCTGACCCACCTTACCCCCCCTCTCCCCAGGCGAAGGCGTACACGACGCGGGTGGGCGAGGGGCCCTACCCGACGGAGCTGTTTGGGGAGCTGGGCGAGCAGCTGCGCAAGGCGGGCCACGAGTTTGGCACCACCACAGGGCGGCCGCGGCGCTGCGGGTGGCTGGACGTGGTGGCGCTGCGGTACGCGTGCCACATCAACGGCTTCAGCGCCCTCAACCTCACCAAGCTGGACGTGCTCTCCGGCCTTCCCGAGCTCAAGCTGGGCGTGGCCTACCGGGCGCCTGATGGCTCCGTGCTGCCCGCATTCCCGGCAGACCTGGAGCTGCTGGGGCAAGTGGAGGTACGCAATGCATGCGGGGGTTATCGATGGATCCAGTGCATGCTTGGGTGGGGCATCAGGTGTATGGTCCCCATTCATCATGGCCTTGTGGGATTGTGGTGTGTGTGCGTGTGCAGGTGGAGTACGAGACGGTGCCGGGATGGCAAGAGGACATCACAGGCGTGCGGTCCTTTGAGGAGCTACCCGCCAACGCGCAAGCATATGTGAGGAGGATTGAGCAGCTCCTGGACGTGCCTGTGCGCTTCATTGGCGTGGGGCCCGGCCGGGATGCCATGATCGTCCGCTCATCCGAGTAGACTGCCAACCTGGACACTTCAAAGTAATAAAACGACGTCATTATTAGCCAATAGCTTTCCTGATGTTATGAAAAGAGCGTAATAAAGGCAATGGAGCTTGCTTGAAAAAGGAAGTAATTGGAGGAATGTGGCCAAGGAGGGGCTCTTAGGGTACAGTAAATGACTGCAGAATCCCGAGTGCACAGTTACAATCATTCCCGTCTCGCATATCGCGTATTTGAGCTGTCCTTAGGGAGCCCCTCGTTCACTCGGTTCTCAGTTACGTCTCTCGCTGTCGCACTCGTCAGTCGCCCCAGTTGCCTAGCAAGCCTTCCACGCCACCCCGAGCGCCGGCAGCATGCAGATCTTCGTGAAGACGCTGACGGGCAAGACGATCACGCTGGAGGTGGAGAGCAGCGACACCATCGACAATGTCAAGGCCAAGATCCAGGTAACCTCCGCGCACCTGCCGTGCCGCCCCGCACCAACGCCGCTCCGCGTCCTGGGTGCGACGCGTGGTCTGATAGCGGTGTGCGGTGCGTGGTGTGTGGTGCGTGGTGCGTGTGAGGCGCGCGCAGGATAAAGAGGGCATTCCGCCGGACCAGCAGCGGCTGATCTTCGCGGGGAAGCAGCTGGAGGATGGGCGCACGCTGGCGGACTACAACATTCAGAAGGAGTCGACGCTGCACCTCGTGCTGCGGCTGCGCGGCGGCATGATGATCAAAGTGAAGACGCTGACGGGCAAGGAGATCGAGATCGACATCGAGCCCACGGACACCATCGAGCGCATCAAGGAGCGTGTGGAGGAGAAGGAGGGCATCCCGCCCGTGCAGCAGCGGTAAGCAGGGCGTGAGGGTTCCGCTTTGGTCCACGTCTCTTGCTAATGATGCTGCCTGACACGGGCTGTGCTGTGCTCACATGTGTGCTGACACGGGCTGTGCTGCGCTCACATGTGTGCTGACACGGGCTGTGCTGCGCTCACATGTGTGCTGACACGGGCTGTGCTGCGCTCACATGTCTGCTGGCATGGGTTGTGCTGGCATGGGTTGTGCTGCGTTCACATGTGTGTTGGCATGGGTTGTGCTGCGCTCACATGTGTGTTGGCATGGGTTGTGCTGTGCGCACATGTGTGCTGGCATGGGTTGTGCTGCGCTCACATGTGTGTTGGCATGGGTTGTGCTGCGCTCACATGTGTGTTGGCATGGGTTGTGCTGCGCGCACATGTGTGCTGGCATGGGTTGTGCTGCGCTCACATGGGTTGCATTGAATGGCAGGTTGATCTTCGCGGGCAAGCAGATGAACGACGAGAAGACGGCCAAGGACTACAGCATCGAGGGGGGCTCCGTGCTGCACCTCGTGCTCGCCTTGAGAGGCGGCCAGCCCTGATGCCACATGCTACACGCTCCATGAGTGATGCTTCATGCCTCACAAGTTCTTTAGTGGCTGTAGTTACCTAGCAGTGTGGCTCACCAGGTAGTGCAGGAGGCAAGGCCTTAGCCTCATTGTGTTGCACTTATCGTTGTCCTGTGAAGGCCTTATGGCATAGGCTTTATCAATTTCCCTGGAAAAAGGCCATTCACAGCAGGAGCAGCGTGGTCATTGTGGGTCAACGCGTGTGACGGGCAGCCCCAAAGCAGTGAGCTGCGGCATGACGGCAGCAGCGTCAGCCACCACGAGGATGGGCTGCTCCGTGGGGTGCAGCCAGCGTTGCGCCGCCACCACCACCTGGTCTGCTGAGAGTGCCTCGACGCGGCGCTTGAACTCAAAGATGAAGTCCTGGTCGATGCCGAACAGCTCGTACGTCATGATGCGACTCAGCTGTGCGCCACTGCCACACACACAGGCGCGTGCAAGGGAGGTGGGAAAAGAGTGTGGGGCTCCGGTGCAGGAGACATGAAATAGGCCTGGGGTGCAAGAAAAGAGAGCGTGGAGCGCACACGGACAGAGGGCTGGTGGAACGGTACCTGTCAGCGAAGTTGAAGACGAAGGAGTTGAGCACGCGGTCCTTGGCCTGCTGCAGCTCATCTGCTCGCACACTCATGCAGAGAGACACACGGCAACGGCCAAGGGTGGTGGTGATGCTTGCTCAATGCACAGTGTCATTGCGATGGCGGATGACCACCAGGAGGCATGGCACGGCAAGGGCTCACCTGGCGAGGGCGAGTCCAGGGTGGCCTCTGCCAGCACCCGCTGCACCGCTGCTATGAACCGCCCCACTGACTCCGCCCGGGTCTCACCGCCCCCCACAAACGCCCCCTGCGCTCACAGCACACACAGAGGGAGGGAGCTCACGGCTTTCAATCCCAGGGCGCTATGAACTGAGAGCCGAATGTGAAGCGGGCAGCACGGGCGAGAGAGGCAATGGGGAGCAGATGTAAGGCGCAGCACAGCACTGTGAGCAGGTGCGAGCATGTGTGAGCAGGTGTGAGGTGGGGCAGCAGCAGCAGCAGTGGCAGCAGCAGGAGCAGTAGCGGTGGCACCCACCCGGTGGTCGACGCCTGGCGACCACGAGCCTGACACTGAGTACGCCAGGCCCTCCTGCGACCGCACCTTGTGGGGGAGAGGGGGGGAGGGAAGACCGCGCACGTGGCGAAAAGAAAGGGCGATCAGGGAATGGGAACCCGATTCAGAGAGCAGTAAGAGGGGGAGAGCTGTGCGGGAGGGAGCGGGGGGCGAGGGGAGCGGCGTTACTTGGTCGAAGAGGCGGCCGCCGAAGCCGTTGAGGATGGAGTTAAGGACGTCCAGGGCAAACACGTCCGGGTCGCTGATGGTCGTGCCCAGCTCGCCCACTCGCACTATGCTGCACCAGGAGGGGGAAGGGTGGCGCAGGGCAGAGACGGGGCACGAGCAAGAGAAGCAAGCATGGCGGGAGTCAATTGGCCAGCATTCGACATGTGGAGTGCTGAGAGGCGTCGCTGATCTCAGCACTCCCCCGCCTGTGAATCCCTCCCTTTCCCATTGGTTAACCTGAGCTACCGCTGCTGCCCACCTCTGGGTGAGCCCCGGTCGGTCCACCACATAGACGCCCGCTGCACTGGCCGCCACGCCCTCCTCCGGCCCCCAGTATGGTTCTGGCCGGGACCCGCCTCTGCCACCCCGGCTGCTGGTATTGCTACTGCCAGCAGTGCCCCAGGGCTGGAAGGTGGCTTCTAGAAGGGCCCTCATCTGCTGCGGGTCGAAGTCGCCCCACATGCCCAGCACCGCCTGTGAGGGGTCGCTGTAGGAAGCTGCATGGAAGGCACGCAGGTCGCTCAGGGAGATGCGTGCCACGTCAGCGGCGAGGGGGAAGCGGCCGCGCGGGGAAGCGGGGCTGTAGAGCAGCCGCTGCAGCTCCCGAGACGCCATGCGGGCAGGCTGGGGGGGTGGGGGAGGGAGGGAGAGGGGAGGGAGCGTGAGAAATGGATGGAAATTAAGGGAAAGGGTTTAGGGAGGCAGCGGACTGCTCTTGGCTTGTGGTGGAGAGTGGGACGTGCATGCATGATGCAAGGCGGGGCACAAGGGTGGTGAGGAACGAATGGGGTTTAGTTGTGATGGAGCTTGACTGACGGCTGAAAGGGTGGGTGGTGAGCTGGCAGGAGTTGAGCGGGACTGACATCGTCATTGCGGCGGGCGATGGAGCCGAGCAGCTGAGTGCGCGAGAAGGCGAGCTTGGAGGCAGGCAGCAGAGGGGAGAGCACCACTGGCAGGGGGGAGGGGAGAAAGAGGAATGAGTAGGCGCGCACAAAGAGCCACGCAACCACAAAAAAGGGGCACTCAGATTCAGGCTCAAGTGAATGCTATCAGGATAGGCAGTGGCAGGCGTGACTGACCGTCTCGGAAGAGCGGCATGAGGGTGGGGACATCTTCCTGCAGGCAGCGGAAGGACGCCGACAGCGACGACGTGCCCGCTGACGTCTCTATGGACGCTGCCAGGGACTGGTGACACGGGGTCAGCAGAGAGGGGTGCAGGGAATGGGCTGGGAGTGCGAACGGGTGAGGCAACAGGGCGGGGGGCTGGCGAGGTGGGGCCAACAACGAGATGTGGAATACTGACGCAGCAGATTCGCGGGTATGCCTGATTCCGTGTGGCCCATGGCGTGCCATCCCACCTCCAGCATGCCATCCCACCTCCAGCATGCCATCCCACCTCCAGCATGTCATCCCACCTCCAGCATGTCATCCCACCTCCAGCATGTCATCCCACCTCCAGCATGTCATCCCACCTCCAGCATGTCATCCCACCTCCAGCACGTCATCCCACCTCCAGCATGTCATCCCACCTCCAGCATGCCATCCCACCTCCAGCATGCCATCCCACCTCCAGCATGCCATCCCACCTCCAGCATGCCATCCCACCTCCAGCATGCCATCCCACCTCCAGCATGTCATCCCACCTCCAGCATGCCATCCCACCTCCTGCATGTCATCCCACCTCCAGCATGTCATCCCACCTCCAGCATGTCATCCCACCTCCAGCATGTCATCCCACCTCCAGCACGTCATCCCACCTCCAGCATGTCATCCCACCTCCAGCATGCCATCCCACCTCCAGCATGCCATCCCACCTCCAGCATGCCATCCCACCTCCAGCATGCCATCCCACCTCCAGCATGCCATCCCACCTCCAGCATGCCATCCCACCTCCAGCATGCCATCCCACCTCCAGCATGCCATCCCACCTCCAGCATGTCATCCCACCTCCAGCATGCCATCCCACCTCCAGCATGCCATCCCACCTCCAGCATGCCATCCCACCTCCAGCATGCCATCCCACCTCCAGCATGCCATCCCACCTCCAGCATGTCATCCCACCTCCAGCATGCAATCCCACCTCCAGCATGCCATCCCACCTCCAGCTTGCCATCCCACCTCCAGCATGTCATCCCACCTCCAGCATGTCATCCCACCTCCAGCATGTCATCCCACCTCCAGCATGTCATCCCACCTCCAGCATGTCATCCCACCTCCAGCATGTCATCCCACCTCCAGCATGTCATCCCACCTCCAGCATGTCATCCCACCTCCAGGATGTCATCCCACCTCCAGCATGCCATCCCACCTCCAGCATGTCATCCCACCTCCAGCATGCCATCCCACCTCCAGCATGCCATCCCACCTCCAGCATGCCATCCCACCTCCAGCATGCCATCCCACCTCCAGCATGTCATCCCACCTCCAGCATGCCATCCAGAGCGTCCTCCGGGTACTCGTTGGTGCCGCCGCTGCGCTGCACGGCCGCCATCATGCCCGCCAGCCCCACCTGCGCACGGGGGGGCGGACGGGGGGGAAACAGAGACGCGCGCGACCGTGGCTTGTGCAAGCTTGGCGCTGCACGATGGACGGAGAGCTTGTGCGGGAGGAGAGCATGCGCATGAGCTGCTCAAGTAACGGTGGATGACGAGGCAGAGGGGGTGAGCGGCATGGTTGGGCTCACCTTGTTGGGCGCTTCATACTGCGCCCCGCCCTTCACCAACAGCTGCCCGCCCACCTGGCATGGCGGACACATGGGGGCGGCACAACAGTGATGGGGAGAGAGACGGTTTGTCATGTGCGACAAGGAGACACGGCAGGATGAAGGATAAGCGTGCATCAGCCTAAACCTGCCAGCCTATTAGAAGTCAAAAATCAGCTAAACTCAGCAGCCCTGTGCATGCGTCACCTGCCCCATGCAGCGCTCACTAGCCCCAGCTCAGCAGCCCCAGCTCAGCAGCCCCAGCTCAGCAGCCCCAGCTCACCAGCCCCAGCTCATGGTCTTCCAGCAGAAAGACTCGCAGGCCGTTGGGCAACACGAACTGGCATGGGGACGCGGGCAGGGGGGGGCGAGCACGTTGAGGGCAAGTGAGGGGACGAGTACAGTGTGAGGGGCGCGGTAGTGTGCGTGGCATGAGAGGGGCGCGGTAGTGTGCGTCGCATGAGAGGGGCGCGGTAGTGTGCGTCGCATGAGAGGAGGGAAACGAGGGGCAAGCAGGGAGGCATGTGGAATGGGGCACGCAGGCAGCAGCTCTGACCTCTTCGTACGGCGGCAGGGCGGGGTCCGGCAGGGGCGGGAAGGACGTGGGGATAGGCGGCAGATGGCGCGTGGACGCCCGCACGCTCACGCGGGCTGAGAGGGCGGGAGGGGGGCGAAGGGGGGGAGTGAGAGGGATGAGCGCCGCAAGGGCGGGGCGCGCACCCAGGGGCCAGCGCGGGAGACTCGTTCGCGGTTTCGTGTGGAGGCGAGGCTGAGGCGGGGAGGGGAAGAGGAGGGCGGGCTGTTGCCGCCCCGCCTCCTACCACAGCATACACGCACCCTTGCTTCCCCTCCGCGGCATCAGGGGGAGCTCAGGCCTCCCCCACTGGGCGAGGCGGGCGCATCCATGCAGCCACGGCGCGCGGGCGGTAATCGGGCGGTGCCCCGCGTGCGTGGGGAGAGCAGCGCGGCGGCCGGCCAGGGCAGGCGAGGCGGGCGCTGCTGCCATCGCTGCCGCCGCGCGAGGGTGCGTGGCGAGAGGATGCGGACCGATCAGTAGGGGAGTGGACCGCGCTCGTGTAATTCACTCAGAGTCACGCGGACATTCCGCGCTGGATGCAGGTCGCGGGGCGTACTAGCAATCTCCGCAATGGGCGTCAGCTGTTGGGCTTTGTGTGCTGGCGGCTTCTCTGCTGCCACCCTTCTCAAGGACATTGACGGGCGCGATATAAGCTGATCTGGTTCGGCTTGGAGCAAAAATCATTTACTTATACAAAATAGGCCCAATGGAATGACATGAGCATAAGGGGGCTAGACAAGAGAGCCCACATACATACAAGGAGCATCATACAGTATCACATATGTGCCAGAGAACCGTCCAGAGATGGCAAGTCCTCGAGTGAGCAACGACTCCTGTCATTGCACAGCTCTCTTCTGTGGCGATCTACTGAGGGCGGCCCACGTGGTTTCCTGCACGACCTGGCGCATGTCCTCCCAGTCCGTGTTGGCCAGCGCGTAGTACCGGTTGTCGCGCACGCCGATGCAGTTGAAGTGCGCCATGCGCCAGCACGTCCCGTTCTGCCATCACCACCCGCAAGGGGGAGCAGAAGCAGTGGAGAGCTGTGTTGTGGGGGCGAAGAAAGCTTGCGCAACGCCAGAGCCATGGAGCAGCAAGGGCAGGGGTGTTGGAAGCAGCACAATCACGACGCCACTACCCAGTGCGTGACACAGTGGCACACAGCGGCGCTCACCTGGTGCTTGCAGCACTCACCTGGTCCCAGCCGCGCCCACCTGGTGCTGACCTGGTGCTTGCAGCACTCACCTGGTCCCAGCCGCGCCCACCTGGTGCTGACCTGGTCCTTGTCGCGCGCGTTGAGGCCGAGGAAGCGCGGCTTGGAGCAGCCGGAGACGTTCCAGATCTTGGGCAGCGTGCGGCACTTGTCGGGGTTGTTCATGCACATCATCGTGAACACCCACTGGTCGCCCGGCCGGAACCCCCACACCTCCATCGCCTTCTGCTCGCCAAACGCCTCCATCACCAGCTGCCAGAAGAAAAGGGAGGGGTACAGGGGGGAGTGCGCCAGATGTTCTGTTCAGGCTTGAGCGGCAATAGGCTACAGCCTACACGCTGTCAGCACAGCAGCGGCGGGCGGAGCATGGCGTACCCGGGTGAGGTTCTGGCGCCTGAGGCGGTCGAGGTCCATGATGAGCTGGCAGCTGCAGAAGGGGTAGCGCGACCTGGGCCCGTAGGCGGTGGGGTGGTTGTCGCCCATGAAGAGTAGCAGGTCGGGGTCCGCGTCCATCTCGCGGAAGTACCCCCACAGCGCGCCCACGTCCTCCGCCGCCACCATGTCCACGTCCAGGTACATGGCGCGCCGCACGTTCCACAGGATCTCTGGCAGGAAGAGCTTGGCGAACCCCGCCTCGCCCGAGTGGTGCGTGATGTTGATGCCCAGCAGCTCCGCCTGGCAGCGACGCGAGGGGCCGGGGGTGGGGGGTGCGACGCTGAATGAGTCCATCCGAGTGGCTCGGGCAGGCTGCTGGCACTGGCAGTGAGGAGAATGATGCGGGAATCCTATGTGGCACAAAGGGGTAGCAGTGACGACTGGTGGGTGCTAGTCCGTGTGGTTGAGAGGCGCACTTGCCTTATGGCGAACCCAGCAGACGGGGATGGGGTGGATGGTGTAGCCCACGGGAGGGTCGTCCGCCACCTGCAAGCACAGACCACGCCCACCGCGCACCCACACGAGTCAAACGAGGCTCAAAACCACTGAAAATCCTACCACAGAGTGGAGCACCCACGGGCTGGAAGGCATGGCAGCAGCGGGCAGAGGCATGAGCGGGCGGCGCTGACCTTGTCGTCGTGGTCGGGATCATAGCTGATCTGGTCGACGAGCGCGTCGATGTCGTGGCGCACGAGGTTGGGCGAGACAGGCCCCACGGCGTCGAAGGGCACGGCGCCCAGCTGCTCCATCATGTCGGAGATGCCCCACTCCTCCGCCTCGCCCGACACCATAAAGTGGAAGAACAGCCGGCACTGCGTCGACATCAGAATCGACTTCACGATCACCTCCGTCTCGTCCCGCGTGAACGGCTCGCGGTCCCATTGCGCGCTCACCAGCACGATGTGAATGCGCTCGTTCACCGTGCAGTTGCTGACCGGCCGCGGGAGGGAACACGGACCTGACGGCCGAAACCCAATGATACGGACTACGCGCTCAGTGTCTGCGAATTCCTCGCTGCCTAATATCCACGCGACGGTGGGAATGAGAAATATTCGGACGAAATGGACGATCGCGAAGGTGACAAGGAGTACGCGGAAGGCGCCGCCAGGCTGATTGAATGCTTGGTTGAAGGCCTTCATGACTAAAGCTCACGAATAAGAAATAAGTAGAGGTAGGTGAATTTGAAATACAATTTTGTCCAAATAATTTTAAACCTCTCCACGTAACATCCGTTGTCGTCCAGCCTGGTTAGGATACCTGGCTTTCACCCAGGCGACCCGGGTTCAAATCCCGGCAACGGAGGTTCTTTTGCCCTTAGTAATTAGTTTTCCTGAAAAGTGAAATGCCATTTGGCGGAGCGAGACGTTTTACGAGCAGGCTTCCCAACAAAAACGAACGTCTTCTACGGGGAACAAAGAGGTTGTCAGCTGACCTCGATATTGTCTCGGCGGGAATATCGAGGCGTCCCTGTGTGTGGCCCTCCTCTCCAGTGCGACCTGTCAGTCTGTGCCAAAGCCGACAGATGGATGGGCAAGGGAAAGCCGAAAGCCAACCACGCAAGAACCTGAACATCCTCAGATTCCGTTTGCTGCCATGAACTTCCACGGTTTCCACTTCCATGGCCATGTTGCCATTCAGGAAAATCCAAACTAGCTCTAGACTTCGCTAACCTACTTTTGGCCATGGTGTCGTCGGGCGGAAAGCACCTGGCTCAGGCCAGGCGGACCTCCCTGATGAGGATTAGGATAGGAGGGCTCTCTTTATGCAGGAATGCGGTTGTAATTTCCGTTGTCGCGCTTGCTAGTGCGTTCGTCTTCTTCGGCTATCGCCTGTCTAGTCCGTTGACGGCACCCGCTTCTTCCACGCTGAGTAAGGATCGGTTAACTGTCTCGGCTGCATTTTGTGACGAACGCATCTCACCCAGACGACAATTGCCTGTGCAGGTCGCGACAAGTCAGTAGCAACCACAGTAGACCAGGTATACATGCATATTTCTCTCTTAACCGACAATTTCCTACTTCTTCTGTCAGGACTTACCGTTCGAGCTTCCATTCCTCCAGGTTATATCTTCTGAGACGAAGAGTCTAGCAGCGCTGGAGCAGATAGAGTCGCTTTTCCCGAAGGAGGTACGGCTGTCAGTGGAGGAGTGAGCATCCGCTTTTATTACGATCGGATTGCTAACTCCATACCCTCGGTTTACTCGTAGGTACTGGATGTCGTAAACACGAATGCGGCCGATTCGTCCCTCCCTGACTTGCGGTCGCTGTCGGTGGAGGAACCTTCATCGATTGCTCTGGAGCGAATTAAAGAGAGGCGACGGAAGGCGCAGTCCGTGAGTATACTGGTCTTCCCGCTACTTGGACCTTCTGTTCATGAGGACACAGATGTCACTCACTTCTCGGTCTTCAGGTTCCCTCGGAGGATCCACTTGCCACTTTGGGAGCTTCGACGGCTGATCACGCCAGTCTGCTGGCTAAAGCTGCTGCAGAAGGTAAGCCTGTCAGCGATTCTTTTAAACGTGGCTTTTGTTTACCTATTCGCCTCATGCTGACGGTTTTTGCTTGGATGCAGGGGAGGACCCCGAGTCGTTGAGAGCGATGGAAGCCCTACTCAAGCCGGATCCCAATGATCCTGCGCGACGGATAAGACGAGTGCGTCGTCCCTTCCGAGCTTTATGCTGATCTCGTCTGGGCTTTTTGTGCTAACGTGTGGAAGCGTTTTTGCAGGAGAATCGAATTCGTCGGCGAGATAAAAGGCTTCACGAGCTGGTCGCACAGGAGTCGACAGAGGACGACGCAGTGGAGGCGGAGGAGAAGAAGAAGAAGGGGTCTGGCTCAGAACCCGCCGTTGCTCTGAACAAATACAGCATATGGCGTAGGGAGGACGAGAAGATAGGCGGAGACCAGATGGTTAGACTTATTCAAGATCAACTGATCATGGCTAGAGCGTACATGGCGATCGCCCAGCAGCACGGCGACTCGAAGCTTTCAAAGGAGCTGAAGAACAGGATGAAAGATAGCACCAAGTCGCTAGGCGAAGCAACGACAGACGCAGAGCTAGCTTCCAAGTATGTCGTTGTCGTCCCCTTCCACGAAGTTTGCAGCTCCTTTTGCAGTCCGCCTCCCGTTTTTCTGAGTCGATGAAAGCATTAAATCGCTCGCTTACTCGCTTCTGCAGTGCGGTGGAGAAGATGCGGGCGATGGGACAGCTGCTCGCCAGAGCGAGGGATCAGCACTACGACTGCACGGGAATGGTGAAGAAGCTTCGCGCCATGGTGCACTCTGCGGAAGAGCAGGTGACTCGCGATCTTGTCAATGGCTGGATGGCCATCTCTGCACACATTTAACTTCGTATGGCCGACCTGAATCCTTCCTCTTGTGCCTTTTCAGAATCAAGCTTTGAGGCAGCAAAGCCTTTTCCTAAGTCAGCTCGCAGCAAAGACCATTCCGAAGGGAATCTTCTGCCTCTCCATGCGGCTGACTATCGAATATAGCAACCTCTCTCCAGAGGAGCGGGAGTTTACAGGAAAGGAAAAGCTGGAGGACAACGACTATCATCACTATGCGCTCTTCTCTGACAACGTGCTTGCAACAGCCGTGGTCGTGAATTCAACTGTTGTCAACGCCAATGTACGTCTATTCTCAGTGGCCGGTTCCGCACATGCTGGCAGTGATATCTGGCTTCTAAAACCGCTTCCCCGTCCCGTCCTGTGTTCAGGATTCCTCGAGACACGTCTTTCACATAGTGACTGACAAGCTGAACATAGCGGCCATGAAGGTGAGCCCAACACTGGATGCTATTGACTAACCAGTAGTTTTTGGGAGAGACATCTAACATTCGAGTTCCATCTGCAGGCTTGGTTTCTTTTCAACCCTCCAAAGGATGCAACCATTGAGGTTCAAAGCGTTGATAGTTTCACCTGGCTAAACTCGTCCTACTGCCCGGTTCTGAGGCAGTTGGAGTCTGCATCAATGAAGGTACAGGAGCGGCTGCAGAATGTTGTGGGTCTGATAGGCCATTGCAGACCTGGCATGCCTAAGCACTTGAAAATTGGTTTCGCAGGACTACTATTTCAAGACAGGACAACAGACAGAAACAGCGGGAGGCGCAACAGCAAACCTCAAGTATCGCAATCCCAAGTACCTTTCAATGTTGAATCACCTCCGGTTCTACCTGCCCGAGGTGTTCCCCAAGCTTGACAAGGTTCTGTTCTTGGATGACGACATTGTGGTTCAAAAGGATCTCACACCGTTGTGGGAGGTAAGCTTTCTGGGCTGTTTTATACAAATCTGGCCCTCACGAATCTCTGTCAATGGCTCACCACTCTCATTGCGTTTCGCAGATTGACCTGCATGGGAATGTGAATGGTGCAGTGGAGACATGTGGGGCCAGTTTCCACAGGTTTGACAAATACCTCAACTTCTCCAATCCACTGATCGCCTCGAATTTCGATCCACAGGTACCATTTGTCCCTTCGGAGTTGGCTTAGGGGATGTGCCGCGATGCAATGGTACTGAGCACCGAGATTTCTCTAATCATATCTGGCTTCCTGCAGGCTTGTGGCTGGGCGTACGGGATGAACGTCTTTGACCTGAAGCAGTGGAAAGTTCAAGATATCACTGGAATTTACCACAGATGGCAAACACAGGTAGGCCAAACAAGCCTCCATTACCTAAGTTCCCCTGTTCTTCTCTCTTGCCAAGTTACTGTGCGTGAGGCCTCTATTCCTAAGGGATTGAAACCTGCTAAAGGTCAAGACTGTTAGCTGCATACTGACCGAATCTCTGTACCTGCAATTTGTGTTTCAGAATGAGGATCGCACCTTATGGAAGCTTGGCACTCTACCACCCGGGCTGATCACATTCTACAACAAGACTCAGCCGATTGACAAGAGCTGGCATGCCCTTGGACTTGGCTACAATCCAAATCTTGACATGGACGAGCTCAACAGGTAAGCCATACCGCCCAGCTGCATTGATACTCCTTCACCCAGTTGCTTGCTAACTTTGATTCCCTTTGTCATCATGCAGTGCCGCCGTGGTCCATTATAATGGCAACATGAAGCCGTGGCTTGAAATTTCAATGACCAAGTTCAAACGTTACTGGACGAAATATGTGAAGATTGACCACCCATTCATGCAGCAGTGCAATGTGAGCCCATAGCATGGCTGCTAGCTAGTTAGTCATGATAACCATCCATAACATGTCAACTCTTGTAGGTATTGTATATGCCTCCAAGATCACTGGCACTGCTTATTGTAGGCAAAGACTACCGCACACAAAATTTGCCAAGAAAGGAAGCCTCCAAAGGAAGAGGTGAGCTAACTCCTGCTACCTTTCAAAAGTACTGAGTGAGTTCCTCACCACTGAGCTCCTCCAATTTCTTCACCAGGCTTTTTGCACCCTCAGCCACTGCAGGGTCTGGGTCTTCCAGCAGCTCTGCCAAGAATGGAATGGACTCCGGCAGGAGCACAACGTACTCTTCGCGCACGCGATCCACGATCTCATTGATCACGCGCAGAGACAACTGACGAGACCGCACTCGCTCACTCCGTGTGCACATCAACACCTGTCACACAGCAAACCAGTCAGGTGTTCAGGCTAACACTTGAGAGGTGATCAGGCAGTCAAAGCAAGCTGCACCCAGCTTCTACAGAACAATACCTGGTGGTTGAGCTGCTTCCAGAGGATATCAGACCCCCCTGCAATCGTCATTTCACCCAAACACGTCACGAGCTCATCATCCACGTCGCTGATGCTTGGGATGGAGGCTGCAATGTAGGGATCCAGCTTCATGTGCGTCTCTGAAGGCCGAGAAGCAGCGATGGGAACCTCTGAAGCAGACAATGCAGAAACGATCGAAGCCACACCAGCTGGAGGTTCTCTGTCGATTTGAGATGTGAGGGGCTCCAGGAGGGCCTGAACACATCAGAAGAAGAACAGAGATGAGAAAAATCGACAGCAAGTACACCCTTGACTTTGTTATCATGTGTCGTGAGCTATGCAGGAAGGCTGCATACCTGGAACCTTGTGGCATCCAAGAAGGCAGCGTTGGAGTCATAGGTGAAGCACTTGTGGAGGGCACACATCACCAGGTACCTCAGCTGCCACTGTGCAATGCTGTCCTCCGCTGCTGCTGCCACACCTGCTGACTTGCGCCTCTTCTTTTTCATTCCCCCCTTGGCAGCATCACTGGGGCCAACAAGGTGGCGGATGGCAATGTCAAAGAGGTACTGGAAGTACGGCACGAATACCGACCTGAGTGGAGGGGGGTGCAGGGAACACACAGCTATGCTCGTGAAGCAGAGCAAGGCAGCACTGGTAACGATAAAAATTCTGGTGCTAATACAGCAGCCGATTCTTAATCCCAGTGTCAGCAGCAGCGGCATCAGCATCAGCATCAGCATCAGCATCAGCATCAGCATCAGTACCTGAGCTTGTCAGAGAGCACGTTGACAAGGCCGAAGAGAGTGAGGTGTCGCTCCACTCGTCCTGCTGGAGAGATGGGATCGCCGTCAGCAGCATACTCACTTGCCGCCCACTCCAGCACGCGCACAAACATCGGCTTGAACACACTCTCACTAGTCTTCATCACCACCCCCACCATCGCGCCCACCGCTGCTCCTTCCACATCAGGAGCAGTCACCAAGTGTGTGCCTCCTGGCAGTCTTTGATTGGAGGAGCTATTGGTGGAGGCCGGGAAGGGAGGGGCGCGGCGAACATCGAAGGTGCGAAGGAGGAGGAAGTCGAAGATGCGAGCGTGGAAGGTGGAGGCGGCAGCGCGGTCCATGTGGGAGGCGGCGCGAGCCAGCATGTGCAGCAGAGCAGCGGAAGGGGCAGGGCCTGCAGCTGTGGCTGTTGGCCAGGAGGAGACCAGCGGATCCAGAAGTAAACGCATCTGGGGGAGCGGAATGGGGAGGACAATTCACGCTGAAAGTCAGCCTCAGAGAGCACAATATTTCACACGTTCAGCGTCCAGGGGACGCTGGAAGCCGAAATTGCACATTACTGAAGTGAACTAAGGTACATTGAACAGATGAAAGGCAACGAAGAGGCAGCTGACATGGCAGATGGGTGGTTGGAGATCCCAGGGGCTTACAGGAAGCTTCTCAATGAGCAGTAGTCGCACAGCATGGGCATGCTGCAGCACAGAGGGCGAGGAGCAGCAGAGCAGCAAGGGAGTGAGACAGGTACAGGCGAGGATGCGGGGAGTAAAGGGAGATAGGAGGGGGCCCATGGCCGCCAGCATGGCTTCCAGGGCTTGCAGCACAGCGGCCAGCAGGTCCTGTGCCGTTGCCTCACTCACCACCTCCTCTCTCCCATGCCCCCCACTGTCCTCCTCCTCCATCTGCTCCACCCTCATCTCCCCATCCCCCTCATCTGCTCCCCTCTCCTCTTCCACCACCTTCTTTCCTGCCGCAAGCGCCCTCTCAACAGAGGCGAATAGAGGGGGCATGAGGAGCGGCAGGTGGGGCAGCAGCAGATGGTGCAGGGAGGAGGCGAGGGAGGAGAGGCAACGTAAAGCAGCGGCAGTGAGGAGTGGCGAGGAGGAAGAAGAGGAGACGATGCGAATGAGAGGGGTGAGCGCTGGGGAGAAGTCGTCAGAAGCCAAGGATGCAAAGCGCTTGATGATGGCATCGAGTGTCTGGGGGAAAGAGTAAGTTGGGGGAACGAAAGGGGAGGGCCAGGGAGGGGGGTTGGATGAGAAACGAAATAAGAAAGTACGAAGTAGAATAGTGATTCAAAATGAAGCAGGAGCGAAGGAGCTGCACTGATTCAACACGCAGCAGCTTATCCCTCTCTGCCCCTCCTCGACGCTGCTAACCTGCAGAGCTGCCATCTGTGTGGCCAGCGACCTGTCAGGCCCCTCCAGCGCGCCCATGTGCGCCAGCTGCCCTGCCACCAACGCATACTCCACCGCTTCCTCCCGTGCTGCCTGTGCCAAGCGCTGCTTGCTCCCAGCTTTGACGCGGCCGTGCGGCGTGAGGGTGTGGGGCACGGATGACCGCACTCTGGAGGCAAGCAGGCGGAGAACCTGGAGAGGAGAAGGAGAGGAAATGGGGGTGTTGAAATGCCTAAGAACTGCATGGTGAGAGGAGATGTGGTACACAGTGTTAGTAGTACCTTGCGACGGATATGGCTGCTTGGGTTGGTCAGCAGTGTCTGCACGGCCTGTAGGAACACACCACTGGGAGTCACGTCATCCAGAGTCTGCAGCAGCTCATACGCTGCTGAAGCCACCAAGTCCGCCCTGTCCTTGAGCACAGGGCAGAGTGGGGTGGCGAGGGAGGAGGCCACAGCAGCACTGGAAGCAGCAGCAGCAGCAGCTGCAGTGGCACGGAGGCGAAGGACAACATGTTCCAAGAGAGACACAAACAGCTGTCGCTCAAGGCTGTTGGGGGCTGAGCCACCATCAACCATAGCAGCATCTCCCCCATCGTTGCGCCCTTCCCCTCAACCCCTCCTGCAAGTGTCCCTCCCTCCATCCCCAAATCCTCCTCCATAGCCGCCACTGCAGCCGGCAGCTCCGCAGCAACAAATCTCACCACTACCACATCGTCGTCTGGACCCATCCCTCTCCACCAATCAGACGCCTCATCTCCTCCTGCCCTCCCCTTCCGCCGCACGTTGGTTGGAGGGCACGTGGCTTCCAAAAGCTTCACATATGCCTCCAGTCGGATGCTTCCTGGAACCTGCAAACAGAGCTCAAACGCCAGGCTGAGCCCCCACTCCCCTTGCCCCTGATCGTCCGTGCTGTCCCCCCGCCGCCTCCAGTACGTGTGCTGCTGCAACGCTGCCTGCCTGCGTGCCCGGGCAGAACGAGGGGCGTCTTTGGATTGTCGGCGTGCGCTGTGAGAAGCGAGGGTGTGACGCCTGTGGTGGTGAGCAGCAGCAGCAGAAGCGGAGCGAGGCCCAAGGAGGGAGAGACGCCTCTGTGGTGGCAATTGGGGATGCAAGCGGGGTGGGTTGAAAAGAGCACGCAGAGCATCGATACAGGACAGAAGCATCGCGGAAAGACTTGAAATGGGACTACGCAATAACCATGCAACCGGAAGAATTCAGGGAGGCAGAATCGGAGAGGAGATGCACAGACAGATGGGAAAGAGGTGGAACCTCTTAGAGGTGGGAGTTGGTACCTTAGAAGAGCAGAGAGGAGGGCGATGCGATGGTGATGAGGCATGGAGGGCAGGGATGACACGACCAGCTGATACCGGCATGGAGAGGGTGGGGCAGGGAGCAAAGAGGGAGGAATGGGATGTTTCAGAAAAGGCTCAAGCTGGCGGAGGTGACGACACGGACTGAAGTGGCTCTAAATGGTCGAGGCATGAATGTACAGCAACAGGAAGTGGTGATACATGCGACTGATACTGGATTGGAAGCAGAGGGCGGCATCCACATTCACCTGAAGAAGGGGAGTGACATCTGGGTTGTGGTGCAGCCATGCAGGAAGCACTGCCTCCACGAGTCGATGGATGGCGTCATGCGACTCCCGGATGTCCTACAAGGGAGGCGAAACACCGGGCCAAGAGTGGACACACAGAAGCTCACATTCAGGCACCGGAGCACATGTAC